TTGGCTCTCACAATCTACCATCATACCTTTGTCACGCCCCATGTCTCCTTCCCGATTTCTTCTGCTTCCTTCACATCGTCGGTGATCACAAAGTTGTCAAAGATCGTACCAGATTTCACCTGAGAGGCAGATACAAAACGTTAGACTGTTCTTGGTATTTTCTTTATGCAACAACAACTTGGGAACATAAACTTCTCCTCACCTGCCAAAGGTCAAGACCAAGAACGCCGATGTTGTCGAACTTGTAGATGGTGGAGTCGGGACTGTAGTCGGGATTGTCAATTTCAGGATGCACCCAGGTTCCCTTGTAGTTGGGGTTGTCGATCTGTTTGGGTTTCCACTCTCCCTGTAATACAGAAAAAAAAAAAAAAAACTGTGTCAAACAGGAACATCAGCACAATATCCGATTAAAGAGACAAACCAATGAGACCATTGCTTTGTTAAGGTCTGAAACTGATTCACATTTTTTGGAATCAATCAAAAATGAAGGAATTTATGCTTTTAAATTAAATGTGTTCCCACAAACATGAAAGCTAGTTTGACAAAACAACAATAACCCCCAAAAAACAAAACCCAACAACAAACAAGCATTGTTCTGTATTTGATGGCCAATAAAGGGAAAACAGATCCAGTCCAACCTCTGGTCCATCTGTATTTGATCGTTTCTGTGTAAATGTGGCTTACTTTGTACTCTGGGTTGGGGATCATCGGTGGCTCCCATTCTCCATCCATGTCTTCATCCCAGTCTTCAGGCTTCTTAGCATCAGGATCAGGAATGTTTTCAGGTTTGTCCCAGTCCTAAAAACAAAACCATGCAATTTAAAGTTTCAAGTAACAATGTAAAGAACATTAAAAACAAGGCAGAGAAGAGGATTAGGTTCTCTCACCTCGGGTTTTGTGTCATCGGCATCATCGATCTTGGGGCGGTCATCCCAGTCTTCTGGTTTCTTGGCTTCGGGATCCTTAATTTTCTTGGGAGGCAGGAAGTCCCAGTCTTCCTCCAGGCTGCCAGATTCCACCTTCTCATTGTCAATCTTCACTTCGTAGGTCTGATCTGGGTTCAGGATCAGGGTGTACAGGTGGGTCAGCTCATCGTCCTGCAATGAAACGGTTGAGTTTAGCTTCTTGTGCAACAGCACTATGGAAGGCAAATCTTTAAAATAAAATGTTACCTTGCACTTAATCTCTTTCTTGATCAGGTGATTCTTGCCCTTGTAGTTAAAGATGACATGGACTTTCTTGGTGCTGTAGCCACAGATGTCAGGGCCTAAATCAAACAAACATGTAATTCTTCATAGCTTACAGAACATACTTTATTTTTTTACCGTTTTTATTCTAGTAATATCAACCAGTTTACAGAATAAAAAAAACAATAATTCCTATCATTTTGTTTTATTTCTTCTGATTATTTTAGTTCCTGTTTGTTTTATTGTTGAAGTATTTCTTATTATATCATCCATTTTTCTTTCTCTACATTTTTTGTAATTTAATCCATTATTACCAAATGTTACAACCACTAATGTATTCCTTTTTCTACCATTAATATTTACGAATAATGGTAGACTTTATTTATAATGTCCGGTACATCTTGAGATTTTAAAGGGCTTCAAAAAAATGGCTATTAATTCTTCACTTTAATTACTGCCATTTTTATATGATATATATTCCTACGTTTATTGTTATTTTAATACATATATTTTTATTACCAAACATGATGTAGTATGAGGATTCCCCATGCATTTCGGTCTGCTCCAAGTCAGAGGGGAAGACCTTCACGTAGCCGCCACCACAGTCGATCTTCTGCTCATGCTTGACCGTAAACTGAATGACCAAAGGCTTCCCCTCGTTGCTGAACGGGTCGAAGCGGGCAGAGACGGCGTAGAAGCGGGCATCTTGGCTCGTCTGCAGACCTGAAGTGGGAAAAAAATAATGATACATTTGAGCAGTGCAAAAAAACTTGATTTGTATTAATTCTAGTTAAAGATACTTAAATTGACAGACTGCTCCTGCATGGCCTCTTTTAAAATGGCTTATTTGGTATTGCATGTTTGCGTAAAGTTTCAGGCATTACAGTTTATAAAGTAAATAGATCCTCATTGTTCTATTTACTGTCTAAATGTAAATCTGCTACTCTCCTTCAGCAGCAAATATATTTAAATAATTTTTGCAAATCAATTAAACATTTATTCAAACCAAAGAAAAGGTTTCATTTATCAAAGAATGTATGTGAGTTAAACCAGAAGTTAATTCTTTAAAATCCTATACTTAAGTTGAGCTTGGTGACATCATAAAGGTTTATTTTAAATGCTAATTTGTTTTGACAATTGACATTTTAATGGTACAATAAGGACTAAATAATAAACTTGTTGGAGAATAAGGATATAAAAGACAAGTTTCTCTTTCACTTTAAAATAAAAGTGGAACAGTCATGTTATGAGCTCTGAAGCATATATGATTTATCGGTTAACATGAGCCCTTATTAACCAATAAACATCAGTTTGGGCTAAATAAATACTGTTAATTACCTTTGTCTTTCTCAGCATCTCCATAGAAGTTTCCAGCAGTCAGTTTCCACTCTCCATAGTCAGACTTGTGCTTGGAGTTCACCCAGCGACTTCTCCATTCATCTGCCCGAAGAAGAAGTAGCAGAAGAAGAAGCAATTTGACGGTTAATGACTTTCTAGAAATACATCAAATTCAAGCCCTGATTCGTAACTCTAATATTCAATTGCACTTTAATTATGACCAGTTAGCTTCAGAACATGTGGTCGACGAAAAACCTCACATTCGCAAAGAACTAAAAAGGAAATTCGGCTAACACAAACGACCATTAATCAGATCACTAAAACAGATTTGTGACCTATAACTCCGAATGATAGATGCCACAACTGTGTCGTAAATTTAAAATAAGCTGGGTCAGAGTGAGACTTACCACCGTCCAGAAACTCCTCCCGAAAATAAACCTTAGCGTGAGCGCAGTAAACTGCAAATATTACCACAACTAAACCTAAAAGCTTCATTTTGCTCTTTTCAGCTGCACGTCCCGCTACTCACAGAGGCACCTCTGGGCTAAACAGCAAGTAGTTTGCGGGAGAAGGAAGAGAAGGGAATATTTTAGAGTGGCTACGGCGAACAGATGGCTGCCTCTGATTGGGCAGCGGGTTGGTGTGTCTGGACCAATGACTGTGGACCACGAAAACACAGGAACCAGTGTCGAATGAAGCGAGATCAGCTGACCATTTCACGTTCTGTTGCCATAATGGGCATTATCCACTAGGGGGTGCTAAACGAGACCCCATGTACCAGTCTGTTTTGGGTTCATGTCATGTTTTGCATATTATGTCAGGCACTTCCTGCGTTTAACAATTACTTTTTTACTATTGTTATTATTAGAATTAACTCTGCCCTTTCTCTCTCTATCTGTTTTAATGTGATAAATTAAGTAAATGACAACAATGATACTTTTATGAAGGAACAAGCCGTTTCATCCAAATTTGTATTAGTTTCTAGGACAAATTTAACAAATTTGCCACACACATGCACACGTTATCTTATCTGTTTTTGTGTAGCTTCTATTGTGCAATGAGGCCAGTCTTATCATCTCTGTCACAGTAAACACCAGGCTAATATTATATTCATATTCTATTGCTGTATTAAAGATTACCCAGTGGGGGGCGTCATATTCATCAGCAAGATTACAGTCTTTTATTGTCATAGTGAAAATTATCCACAAGATGGTGCCAGTATCACCTAAACAATTCTTGGAGACATCTAATATTCTAACTTCACAACAATCCACTGTAGCAGTTTGCAGTGCAGAAGATTACAGCCTTTATGCCTGTAAAATCGCTTCACTGTTGTTTGTTACACATCTTGACAGCAATTAACAACATATGCTGGTTTCACAAAGGAAAAATGCTGAGATTGCGGTTGTGAATACAAAGCTCTTCATTGGACAAGTGGTGACATATGGCAACTAACAAAATCAATCAAAAATCAGGCTTTGCAAATGATCAACAAGATAAAAATAAAGATGTCTTCTTCCTTGATATTATTAAACAGACAAAAGCATAACCAAAAGGTTATGGCAATTATTTTGACAATATATATAAAAAAGAAATATTGAACAACAATATTTAAGATTGGTGGGACAGAAAGCCTCGGTTAACCACTTACATCTTTCTGTGAAACCACTTCACAGATTTTAAAGATAAGAGTAAATTTACTACATCTGATTTAGTTTGACTAAAAAGCAAGCCCCTAATCAAACTAAATGTCATCATTTTGTTGAAAAAACAAATACTAAAAATTGGTTTAGCCAGAAACTAATTTGGTAGGAAAACACATTTCTATGATGATCCAGATGTTATGTAGTCAAGGAGTAATGTCATTTGGAGGGAACTTTTAGTGGTTTTGGCTTCTTCCATACTGAAAGAATATTGTTGAAGTTTAGGAAGACTTTCAAATGACTTGAAGTTGCTTAGAAGTTTTTGATTTAGCCTGAAAACCTTTGAGATCCCCCAGTGCAATCCATTGAGTCTTACAAGAAGACTGATCTCTGTGTTTCCCTCTGGAGTTTCTGTGCCACAAACCACAGGATACAAAAAGAAACAAAATGGCCTCATCTCTGTATTTAGTCAACGCAATTTTATAATTTTTATTTCATTATTCTACTTAACATAGGAAGTGATTTTTTTCTTCCTTCATGCAACTCATTCCATTTTGATGCTGATGCTCTTGGAGGGTAAATTTTCTTCCAACGCTAGATTTGTTTCTGCAGGACTGGATGTCTGTAGTTCATGTCTGGAGAGATGCTGCACCACTCCGACACCAATGCAGTCACCAAGTACATTGGTGGCAGTCCTTAAACGATCCCTATAAACACAAAAACAGTAACATCTGAGAGGTTAGGAACTATTTCCCAGCTCATTGATTTTCTTGTGTTTTATCTCAAGCTTTTGTATTTCATTGTGCAGATGAAATTATACAAAGTGGTATACTTACAAAATCCAGTCAACCATGAGGAGCAGTGATATGTCTTCAGTGGGCAGTCCTGTCGAGGTCAACACAATCAGCATGGATACCATGCCGGCCTGTGGGATACCAGCTGCACCCGTGCTTGCTGCTGTGACAACCAAACTGAACAAAAAGAAAATAATGCAGTGTAAGAGCTACTTTGAATAAGTCAACATCAGTTTACTACACTATGCCAAGTCAGAAAAATTAAGGCAAAGCAACATTATTATTTAAATAATTTATATTCATTTTGAAATCCTTAGAAATTCTTAAATTGTTTAAATGATTAGCTCAGATAGCATCACATAAGCACAAAAAGTATTCATTTAAAATATTGGTATAGAATTCCGATAAGTTCTGCTTCTAACCCTGTTAAATATCTGATCTGGAAATAATCAGATATTTTATTTGAACAATATTATAGATGTGAAGTTTGTCAAAATTAGTTTATTCTTTGAATCTATTTTGTTTAGTCAAGAAGTTGTTTCTCCTGACATTTATTGGTGTTACTGACACCAAAACTGAGAATGACACTAGATAAACACTGGAATTAAACACAAGAAAACAGCGAAATGCCATAAACTCAGGAAGTAACTTTGCAATGAGGAATGGCAGAAAGTTGTTCTACAAAATATTAATTTAAGCAGTCAATGCTTTTTAGATTCTTTGGGAAAATTTATTTTCACCAATATATTACTCAGTTTGCTTTCTGTTGATGTGTGATTGCTTTTGCAAGGCAATGCAGGTAAACAAATTCCCTTCAAAGTACCTGAGGACAATGATTTGTCCAAAGTTGAAGTCCATGTCGTTGATCTGGGCTATGAATAAAGCTGCCACTGCTTCATAGAGAGCAGCACCGTCCATGTTCATGGTGGCACCTACAGGCAGCATGAAGCGCGTCACCTGTTTGTCCATCTGCAGATTTTCCTCCATACAACGAAAAGTAACAGGCAAGGTTGCAGAACTATTAAAAAGCACATAAGATATAAAGTTATGCTTCAGAGTCATTCATTTCTGATTGTTTGTAGTAATTGTTTTTTACCTGGATGAAGTCCCAAAGGCCGTGCTCAGAGCCTGGAGGATTCCTCCACCAAACCTCAAGGGATTCTTCCTTGTGACAATAACGTAGATGAGCGGCAGCGTGACGCAGCCGTGGATGATGAGCCCAGTGATCACAGTCAGAGTGTACATGCCAACATCACGACCTATTTCTGCTGCGTCCGTCATTTTAACAACCTGCCCAGCCAGCAGGAAGATGATTCCCACTGGAGAATACCTGTTATGAAGAGGTGTAATTAAAATGGAGATGTAAGTACTTTTCCAAACAGCAGATGGAGCCACAGATAAATTCTTAAAAAGTAAGCACATTTCCACCAAATCATGCACTCATACAGGCTAAACACAGCAATTTTTGAGTCAATTTAACGACAACATGCAAAGATAATTCAAAATTAGGTAAACGTTTAATAGGAACACATAAATGCTGAAACAGTTGAAGTGGTTCATCAATAGTCTTCCCTTCTTACCAGACAGCTATGCTAACAAGACGCATAATTGCTTTATTCATGCAGTTGAATAAATCCCTCAGAGGTTTCCCCTCTGACCCCATACTGCTCAGGATGAGGCCAAAGGCAACGGAGAAGACCAGCAGACCCACAACATTGATGCCGTCTGAGGTTCCTGCTGTTGGTGCTAAACAGCAGATAAAGTTACAATACATAATAACAACAAGGACAACAGGAGAATGAAAAGTGCACGGCAGGACAAAAATCATAACAATCACAGATTTTTATGACTCACTGTTTGTTGATATATTTGTGGCTCCTGATGAATTACTGCTGAGATTAACTGTTAAATACTTTTTAAAGAACATAGAATTAAAATATTAGTACTTTACAAACATTTTACAGTGAAATAACAACAAAACAATTGCACTAGCTTACTTTTCTGAAACAAGCTTCCACCAGATTTGAGGGAAACATGTTTCTATAAAATACATAATCATAGAATCATTCTTTCTTCAAAATATAAAGTGGCAAAAATGTATCTCCACGTGACTTTTGTGCAGACCTGATCAGATCCAGGAAAGCGTCCACACTCTGCACGGCCTGCTTTTTAGTAGGAGACGACTCGGACGTGGACCTGGGTGATTTCCCCGGCTTGATGAGAACCGCCAGGAAAATGCCAGTGAACGCAGCAATAACAGTGGTTACCAAGTAGTACACAAAGGTCCGAAGCCCAATTTTTCCAAAATCTTTTCTGTCAACATTTGAGATGCCTGAAATTTGAAGTGGAAAAATGGGCAAGACAGTTTTTGTCAGTCTTTATAGATCATCAAATTTTGATTTCAGATAAAAATGACCAGAGAAGATACAAAAAATATATTAGTTATTATTGGGAAAATATCATTGGTGATTGATCCAATCTTCTTGACAGAACTGATTTATTCGAGCCAAATTGATGAATTTTAAAACTTTAGCTTGTTCAGATGTTCACAGATGTTCGGGGTCACCAATGTGGAAAAAGACAAAAAAATAATTTGAGTCTTTTTTTATTCTCAATGTCTTCCAATCAAAACCAAAAATAGGATGTAGTACAACCATTGGTGTCTTCTCATGTCACTTTCTCCCCTTCACAATAAGAGCATACATTCGGGTGTGAAACACAAGCTGCCTGTTAAAGGACTGAACTATTAAAGTTTGGATAACCTCTGGTGAAACTAAACTAATGACCTAACTGTTGATTTTACAAGTAAGATGATTAATTCTCAAGATAGTACCAATCCAGCTTTATTAGCCAAACTGTTTGCTACAGTCAAGCTAAAAGCCAAAAAGTTGATCTGACCTGCAATTAGACTTGAAACGACGAGAGGAAGCACCGTCATCTGCAGGATTCTCAGCAGCATCTCTCCAGGAAAAGTTAAATATATGATTTGTCTCTCAGACATGTTAACATATCGCAGAGCAAAGCCCAGCCCAATCCCTTAGAAACACAGACATATGCACAGTTTTCCAACAAAGAAGCAAATGCAAGAGAAAATACAACATAAAACTGATGATTTCTTACCTATTGCAACAGCAGCCATTGTGAGAATGACAAAGGCATTCCTCTTGAGGAAAATTAGAATATTAAATCGATTCCTAATTAATCCTCTTTCACCTGAGGGCTGAGAACATCTTTCGTTTTTCTCGTTATCTTCGGGTTTAGCAACCTCCACCAACTCTACCTCCGACATGTTCTTAGAGCTTGGAAGCACTGATATCTACATTATTGCAGAAACATGGGAAAAATGAATGATGAACACTTTTGCCTGGAGCTTGAATGAATAAATCACTGTTCAAAAGTTAAAACATAACGAGTTTTAACTCATTATGTTGTAGACATTTTATAAACAAGATATTTAAATTTTCCTTCAAGTCTTACCAGCTTGCGTTTCGAAGTCCTTGGTAAAATAAAGCTCCTTTGGATTGAAGAAGTGATTTGACTTGACTTGTGGATCTAATTTTGAGGAAAAAAAGAAAACAGTTGTGGCCAGCTCAGAAATACTAGCTGCCACTGAGGTTAGGAGTGAAAGATTTACATTTAAGAAGAATTGCCCTACTCTGCTCCCTTCTCAGCACAGTTAACGGTAAAACGGCACAGAAATGTCAGAAGAAAAAAATACTTGCATTCTTTGCATTCTATTACGTTGTAAAGGCTTGATACAAGATTACATTTTAACAGTAATAGGTTGAAAGTCCATTTCTCTTCTTCTTGGACATATTTCACAGAACACGTTTTACCAATGCAGAGGTCTGATTTGTACCGTACTTTGTGAAAGTACTTTTTCTACAGATTATCTTACTACAAAACTTCAATGTATTTTGTTGGGCAAAGTTGCTTCATGTGATGTGTGATAGCTTTTGCAAGGCTTTGCAGGTAAACAAATTCACTTCAAAGTAGCTGAGGACAATAATCTGTCCAAGATTGAAGTCCATGTCATTGACCTGGGCTGCCACTGCTTCACAAAGAGCGGCACCGTCCACGTTCGTAGTGGCACCTGCAGGCAGAATGAAGCACGTCACCTGTTTGTCCATCTTGAGATCTTCCTCCATACAATGAAAAGTAACAGGCAAGGTTGCAGAAATATTAACTATCTTGTGGCAATAACGTGGTTGAGCAGCAGCGTGATGCAGCCCAGTTATCACATGGAGTGATTTATTGAATAAATCCTTACGGATTTATTCAACTGCATAAATCACTAAGGATTTATTCAACTCTGCCATGTTTTGTAGGAAAACATTTACCTTTAGGAGTATTTTTATTGCACTGTACTTTCACTTGAACAATATTATCATGAAGTACAGCTACTCTTACTTGAGTAAAACACCTGATAAGTGGTTATTTAAGAAAAACATTGTATATTTATGTTACAGTGAGACCTCTGTACATAAGTTTTGTTGTTCTAATCATATTTTGTCTGTTGAGCCATTTGGAGACAAATTGCAGATAAATTGTTACTGGAAGGACTTTATCCGGTTCTAACAAATATATACAGTGCCTAATGCATTTACTGGATTGTTAAGATTTATGCAGTAAAAAAAAGGGTTTAGTAAAGTGTTTCTTCAGCTTAAATAATATTATTTAGAAGGAAGAAATATGCTCACTTTTGGTAATCACGTTACCTATTGCTAGATGATTGATTTCTGATTCCTTGCTGTGACATGTTCTATTCTGAATAACATTTTTACTGCTTGATGGCATCACATATCTAAACTCATCAGAACTTTCTTACCTTTCTGAAACAAGCTTCCACCAGTTGCAGGAAATAAATACAATTTGCAGGTGATTCTTTATCAAATATACAAAATAAAACAAAAACAAAAACAAAACGAAACAGTATAGGTTGTCTTTCATTGATACCTGATGAGATACAGGAAAGCATCCACTCTCCGCAGAGCCTCTTTTCTGCCAGCAGAGGGCGCTGAGGTTTGATGAGAACTGCCAGGAAAATGCCAGTGAATTCATCTACCAAGTAGTAGATGAAGGTTCGCAGCCCGACTTTCCCAAAAGCCATCTTGTCTACATCTGGCATGCCTGAAATACAAAGAACTAGTTAGTGTTTTACAGATTTTTAATGGTCTTTGAAGCCTGAATAAACCCACCACAAACAAAGTGCAAAAGTGAGTTCGATCATTTTTCCTTGCAACATTTTCATGGGTTTGTTTTTATCCTTTTCATAGCTTTAACAAGCCTCTTCAATACCCAAATGAACTCAAGTTGAACAGTAGATCTTTAGAGTCAAAATGACAGGAGGAAGCAGCATCATCTTCAGCGTTCTCACCAGCAGCTATCAGGACAAGTTAATATTTTATTTCTCTCTCCGAGATGTTAATGTGTCACAGTGAAAAACCCAGTACAAACCCTTAGAAACACAGACGGAAATCAATATGCAAGATTTTCCATAAAATGACTATTTCATTAGAAGAAATGCAAGTGACAAAATATGAAGATTTTTACCTACGACACCAGCCGTTGTGAGAACGATAAAGGAATTGATCTTGAGAAAATTCAAAATATTAGCTTGGTGTCTAATTAAACTACTTCACCTGAAGGGTCAGAACAAATTTAACTTGTCTGATTTTTTTTTATCTAAACAGAATCTACTTCAGACATGTTTCCAGAGACAAAGCAAATGAGAAACTGCTAAAGTTGAACAAACTCTCTGTTTATATTAAACAAGATTCATAAAAATAAATAAAATAAATGCAATTCCTCTAATGGATGGTATGACCAGCTGAAGCTCAGACAACTCAATGAAAGAGTTTTATCTGCGTTTGTGGTGATAAGGCAAAACCAGAAAGCAGAGACAGGCAAATTCAGCTTGATTTGGCCACTTACTGTAATAATGAAAAGAGACAAACAGGTTTGTTGGTTTTTTTCTGTTTCACCCTGAGAACAAATTGACTAGAAACTAGAAATATGTTAAGGAAATCTTAGGTTAAAAACTGGTCAGAACTCACAGAAAAGAGGAACGATAGAGTAAATACGTAAAATTAAAAGCTGCCGCTACATGTGGATGGAGTTCCTGACTGTAAGACCAGTTTTTAAGAGCTTAATTAGACATGCAAACAAGGGAATATTGGAAATAAAAAGTACATTTTTCTCATGAGAAAACAAATTAAAACAAGCTCTAAACAGTTTGAGTGGATTTGTGTAAAAAAAATCTTGGTTCCATCTGATAAAACATGATTTTCACACTATAAAAAATGATGTTATCATTTTTATTAATCGTCTTGACAGTTTGAATTGAGTCCATAGAATAAAAACATCTTGAGCCTTGTTAGTTCTGTATTGGTTATTGATTTGTGCTCGTTTCGACATGAGAAACATGGCTGACATGCAGAGCTCCTATCCTGCTCTGCTGCGTCTTGTTGACAAGGTAAATACTCTTCATTGTCTGAAGCCTGTTGATTATGAGCTAAGCTCTTTAGCGGTTTTGCTTCAGCCACAACTTATTGATACACTCTAATCATTATGGACAAGGTCCAAATTGGGATGTTTGTACACTGAGGAACTCTGTCAGATCAATTATTCATTTGAAAATATTAAATAAATTTGTCAGATCTTTTTCCTTTTTTACAAGACATACCCAGTCACACTCTATTTTTTTAAGCTATGGCATTTCTCATGAATCAAATGATGGGCAGTAAGTTGAAGAGTTTTGCTGATGCAGGTGGCGAAGGCGGCAGCAAAGCTGGAGCAGATGGAAAAGAAACGGCCGAGTCCAAAGGCATGTCCAGGGAGGAGTTTGAGGAATACCAGAAACAGCTGGTGGAAGAAAAGTGAGTACAAAAAGAAACTTAAATTACCAATATATATTTTTTTATCATTAAAAATCGTGACAAAAATAAGATTAACAGTAGATTCCCCAGGAGGAAATGCTGTCTTGACTTACTTAATCAAAAATGTGAACCAGCAACAATCTTCATGTAAAATACAATGAGAGTCTTTTCTCAGCTGAGTGATGACAGTCAGAAAAATTCAAACAGATTGTCTTAAAACAACATAAAAGAAGCTTCTTTGTTGTCTCAAATAAAATTAGAGGGAAGCCTGATCACTGATAATAACGAAGAAATTATACTGCAAGGATTTAGAGCATTTAGCTTCTGCTGTATGATGTTACTGTGTGGCAAAGATTTGTAGTTAAATCTATCAACCGAACACATCTGAATACAAAAAATGCATATCTGTATATTTTATGTGCATTCACCTCCTTACCGTATTGTCTTAAAGTAAAAAGTCAGGACTTTATATTCTCTTTATAAAAATGTGCAATAAATAAAGACAAACCATTCTAAATCCATAAAATTATAAATATACTATGGAGGGCTTTGACTGAAGAGCCTTTAATTAAAAAACAAAATGCGAAGTTCGGCTTCCATTTTGCTCAGAAATCTTCTTTCTGCATTTGAAGAAGCTTCAAAGTGTTGCATTTTCATCATTTCACCCAACTGAACACTGATCTCCTTTTTTCCACGGGCCATTTTGCGGCACTTCCAGCTTGTCTTAGCGAGAAGCCAGGTGCCAGGACAACATCGCTCTTATTAATTAAATACAATCTTCTTCATTTGCTACAAAATGGCGAATGAAACTGTTAACATAAAGCCAAACCTGGCTTAATAAAGCTACAATTTTCAGGGCTTGTCAGAGTAGTGAGCACTTTTCAACTCATTCTGGTCTCAATTTAGTGAATCAAAGTTTACTGCCTCGTGTTATGTTGTGTAAATGAAGGTGAGGTCTGTTCTTTTTTAAACTGTGTCTCCAGGCCACTTGTGATGCACGTATGACATCAACGGATGTGGGCTGGGTTTACCGGGTAGCTTTAGGAAAGGGTTTATTTCCTCGTGGCTCAAATTAGACAGAGAAGCAGATTAAGCTTGTGTGTAATAACCTGTCATGACAGAAGCCACCATTAAACACATCTCTTAGCCAGGGCGCTTTAAAACAATAATTATTTAATCACTTTACGTTCTCATCTGGTGCTGAACCCTCCGTTACCTCCAATTAGGTGAAAGACAACTTGAAATGAAGTTAAAGTCTTGTTGCCAATGAGAAAATAAGAAAGTCAGAAATTATTTACTCTTTTGTCCTCACAAAAAGTATTAATTAAATGCATTTTTCTTTCTATCTTTTTTTTAATTTGTTTTTTAATCGCTGGTTTGGGTTTTATTGTAAACATCATCCCCAAAATGCATTAATTCCTAGATGATAGTTAATTAATCAGCAGAGGAAATTAGTTTCTAGTGACTGTGACCCTTTTTTATGTGCTCCAGTCATTTTTTTAATTCTTATCTGACTTTCTTTACCAAATTAAAAAAGCTTTATCCTGCAGGGCATCTTACACCACCTCTGATCTTTATTAGTTTCTCTGCAAAAACATAAAATCTTACCAAGTATTTTTGGTCTCGTTTCCAGTGCAAATATCTTAGTGCACTTGAAATAAGACAAACTAACTTACAAGTAACTTTTTAGCAAGAAATGGAGGCTCATTTCAAGTAAATAATTTCTTACTATTGATGAAAAATGCTAGTTTCATTGGCAGAAAGATTAACTAAAAAGTGACATGGGAAATGTCTTGTTAAAAGTGAAATAATCTCCCAAAGGAGCTAACACTTTTTCATCAATATTTTTTTAAAACAAGCTCCTATATTTTAGTAACATAAGATATTATTATATTAACTTAATTATTTGTAAGTTGGTTTGTCTTTTTTGATGTTGTACTAAGATATTTCCAGAAGAAACTGTCAGAAATACTTGGTAAGATTTTATGTTTTTGCAGTGATCCCTATTTTTATGCACTTAGGGACAAATGGCTAAAATCCACATCTACATGAGACGCCCTCTAAAAAGACTTAAAATGACGTGTTTTATAGTTTAAACAACAAATATATATAGATATATCACACACAGTGCAAACAGTTTCAGCATTACTAGAAAAAAAATCAATAGTTTTTCTCATTTCTGCTTTGTAAACGCCAGCCATGTGAAAAAAAGCTGCATTTGTTGCAAACGTTTTGCTCTAAGAAATCTTTGACAGGTATTAATATTTTAGTGTCACATTGCACAGAAAATTTTGCTAATACGCAATAACAAATAGGAAAATGTGGCTCTATTCATTAAATCCATCAAAACAAAGTTTTTTATTTTAACTTTTTTTTTTTGAACTTATATGCAGTTATATGCAGTGCATCAAAATCAGCATAAATTATTAAATTTCCCTTTGAGGTCAATAAAGTATTTTTGAATTGAATTTGAATTAAAAACAGTCTAATAATGTGGTAAATAATATATGGTTAAATAAAATATGAGTGTAAGTCTCCATAAATTATAAAAAAAAAAATACCAGAAATAAACTGGCATGTAATGCTTTGAGGTTTTGAGACAAATGTTTTGTTTAAATATATGAAATCAAAGTCCAAATAGATGAAACTGCAACTTACTTGATGTGATAAACAGTTTTTTTTATTTATTTTTTTGCAGCATATAAACAGGAAACCTTTAGTGCTTTAAGTCTGAATCTTTCCTTAAAGGATTCAGCATCAGGGAATTTGTCGTTCAACTAGATAGACATTTTGGAGGCTTAAAGTTAGTTTCAGTTTATCTGCTGAACCTCCTGTGACCTTTGGTATCTGCTCCAAAAATGTGTGAGAAAAAACGGACACTGTCCTGACGGCAGAGACATGCGAGGTGAGAGGACAGTCCTGACCGAGACATCAAGCAACTGAGGATTTATGCCAAGCTGTAGCTCTTGTGGAAGCTAATCTTATTAAAGCAGGGTTACAGAGGACCACCCTTAAATAGACACAGGGTAAATCTCGCGGCATGGAAACTGACATATAACACTGATAATGACATTATTGCAGAACTGGGCTAATAACACAAATGACGTCAGCTCAGAGACTCCAGAGAGGCAAATCAGGAGTCAGGAGGTCAGTTCATGACCGTCTGGCTTATAAACAGCTGAGTGGCTCTGTGAAGCACTTTGCACCCCAACTAAACCTTTAAGGTGTTTTAATGCTGCAGTCAAAATCTCCAAATCACACAAGAATTGGAGAAAGAAACTGGTTAGCATCCAGAATCCATCAAACTGATAAAAATGGATAAACAAAAATCCTTTAAAGTGGAAAATTTCTCATTGCAGCACAATCAAACCTTTAGAGTTTATTTAATTGGTGGTGTCAAGAAAATCCACATGACAGAAATTATTCTTATTGAAACCCACAGTCATTACCCCTCCCCGAATTGCATTTACAGCATTTTTAAAGTTGGAAACATTTGCATTTGTAATTCTTTAATTCTTGTTAAGAAGAGATGACCGTTTCTAGTATCCACTATTCAAAATATGAACAGAATGTGAACTTTAAGTAAGGCAGACAAGCATTTATTTTTAACCCTCTCCAGGCAGGGGTTGCAGATTTGCAACAACTTAAACAGTCTTTTCAAGTAATTTGAGCCTGAGAGGGTTAAAAGTCTGTAGTTAAAACTTGTCAGAGGAATAATTAAAAGAGTTTCAAACATACGGAGTTAATTTTTAGTGCCACAAAAATTAAATAAATAAACATGGATAAAAAATCCACCTTGAACTATAAACTAGATTGTCTGAAGATCCAAAGTTTTATTTTGTCAAAACATCTTGTTGGCAAACTTAGGGACAATCCAATTAAAAGCTTATTTTAAGGGGAAAATAATTTTTCTTGTCTGTTGAAGAAATTTTGTTGATTAAAATGTTGATTGAGATTTACTTATTTGGAGAAAAGGACCAATGGATTTACTTCCACTTTTGTTATGGTAGCATTAAAAACCCTTTCATAATTTTTACCAATTAGTACCACAAACTCTTTAATTTTCACTGCAAAAGGCCACAAAAAGAATCACGAATACTGGAGGACCTGAAAGGATATTCAATAATATTTAATTTGAAGGATGACATTTTAGCAGTTGGTGAAAAGGTTTTATCAATACATTCTGGCACAACTGGCCCTTTAAAAGCATTTATGATCTTGATTTGGTCCAAAACAAAAATGAGTTTGACATCCCTGATTTATAACAGATGAGAAGTAACAACTGTGCAAAAACCATCAGTGATGCAAACACCCAATTATAAAGTTACGCTTGGAAGAAAGGATCTGTGATGATGCTTCTGTGGGCACCCAGGATGCAGCAGTCTGTCACTGAAGAGCTTTCCAGTTCTGCAGCAGCTTTATGCATGTAATGGGAGACGTTGTCCAACAGCGATGCTATTTTAGCCAGAGTCCTGCTGCCTCCCACCGCCTGCTCTGAGTCCAGAGGTCAGCCCAGGACAGAGCTGGCCATCCTGATGAGCTCACCTGACCTAAGCAGAAGCTGGTCAGAGTTGACAGGAGAAATGTTGGACCCGAAACAGAAACCTGTTGTAGGCTAAACTTATAGGAAATCAATGAACGTACGATGCATTGGATTTAGCGAAATGCTATTTTCCATCTGACTTCCCATAAAAACCTGAAAACTGATGAAAATATATTCACTTCATCCAAACTCACTGAGCTGGAGATTTCTCCACGTAGGAATGGGGAAACGTGACCCAGAACCGGAACAAATGAACTCGGACAGAAAGTGTGGGATGCTTGTCCCTCAACGCAAACATTATTATCATGTGATAATTCTGCTGGTGCTGAGATACCGCTTTACGAGAAAGGCTTTGCTCCTCGCCACCTGCTATGTCAATCCATTAACCTTTTAATTCGCCCCTCTGCTGCAATACCTGCAAAACATTTCTATGTTTGGATGTCAGCTCTTGAGAACATAAGCTATGGATTTATAACACTGATGATGAGCTGTGTGACAGGAAACACTGTAATGAAATACAAATTAAACAATTTTTATGCAAATGTTGATGTTATTTTTATGAGTAAGAGTTTGTTCTTTGGCTGTCTGTCTTATCTGTCATGTTTCTGTTCTGCAGGATTCAACGAGACAAAGACTTTGCAACAAAAAAGGCTGGGAGGGCAAATCTGAGAGTCGCACTCAGAGATAAATACCGACTACCAGATGTGAGGAGCTCTCATCATTCTCTATCTGTTTAATTATTGACATCTGAATGCATTGTTTTAAATAAAAAAACTAAAACTAAAACAATTATGACTTACTCTGGCTCTGTATTTATGACAAATTATGACAAACTTTATTTCTGACAAATTGTGAAATTTGGGAGTTGAGGGCAGGAAAAGCTTTAAAAATAAAAAGTGTTTATTTTAATGTCATAAACATTCAGTTTACAAAAAGAAATTAAGCACACCTGCACCCCATTAAAGAAAGTAAAATACACACATTTGGATTAAACATTTGTTGAATAAGAAACAAAGCCAATCATTTACAAGTTGAGATGATAAAGGGAGGAAAATATGATAAAGAAACAAAACAAATAGAATATATTGTGGAAAGGTTTGTCTCTATGAAAATTTAGCAGTGAGTTGATTCTCTTATGTTATAAGTTGTTGCATTTCCAGTTTAATTCTGCAAAATGTTTTGGTCCATTTTAAATAAGTCTAGCATTTATTGCAGGCTGCAGTATTGTGCATTTGTTAGCAATGTTACCTTGTTCAAAACATTATAGATTTGAATCCTGGGCTGCCAACTTTTTGCATGTCAAACAAAGTCAAGTTCATTTTATTATTCAAATTGGCAAAATTTGAATAATAGAAGGTTTTTGATCTAAGCAAACCCAGATGACGGCATCAATATGCTGGAATCCCTGAAGCTGAGCTTGTATGTCGCAACAAGACATGCAAGCTTGTATTACAGCAAATACACCAAATATTTGATACAAAGTTAAATGGGTAAAACTGCTAAACACTGAGGGGGTTTTGTAAACTTTAAACGTAAAGAAAGTTGAAATTATTGCTTCTCTTCATTAAGCTAATAAAAATAATTTAAATAAATTTTAATGTCACAGTGTGAAGAAAATATCTTGTTCAGATTGTAACTGTATTTATAAGTGTAGGTAATATCTGCTTTTTAATTAAGACCGAACCATTCAGCTATCTTTTTTTTGCTGCCTTTTTGATCAGAGCGCTCTCGACGGCGCCATGATTCAGATGGCCGGAGACGACGCTGACCTGCCGGAGGAACTGGCCAAAATGGTGGATGAAGATGAGGAGGAGGAGGAGACCAACGATTCATTCCTCCACCAGCTTCAAAACATGGACCTGGACGAACTGAAAGCCAAGGCCCAGAGCAGAGTGAGCGAGCTCAGGCAGACTGCAGAGGAGAAATGTGTCCTCATGTGAACGCCTGCAGGACAGGCGCCACGCCCAGACCAGCTTTATTATTTAAATTTAGCTCCCGTGTCACTTTCTTTTTTTTATTTACTTGCTACAGAACAGCCTCAGCTCTGGACAGTTTCCTCACAGAAAAGCTCCTTGTTTTCTATGTCTCCATTTCTTTCACTGGGAAACATTTAAATGCTTCTTAAACAGATGTAAAAAGAGATGAGAGAAGTTTTATGCTCTCAAGGTTTGTCAATATCAAATGTGTTTACATAGCACTTTGAAAACAGGTTTAAAACTGCACCAGAGTGGGGCACAAAAATTATAATAAAATAAGTTGATGAAAAGAAAAGAAAATGGTCACAAGAATAAAAAAATGTATTATGCTAAAAAAAAAAAAGTAATAATAAGTAAAAACAACAACAACAAAAACAAGCATGTAAAAATACAAAAATGTCTGCTTTTCTGGAAGGTATGTAAAAGATTTGCTGGGAAAAGATTTATATCCTCTACTTAAAATTATGAATGTTGTGCATTTTCCTGTCTGGAAAAAAATTAAGACACGACTTAAAATGACCAGTTTCTCAGATTTTTAATTATTTGTATTACTAACAACATATCTATGACATTCCAAGCAAAAATGTAGTATTTATTTGCAGAAAATGAGAAATGGTCAAAATAACAAAAAAGTTGCAGTACTTCAAACGATGCACCGAAAATAATTTTATATTAATTTAGAAACAATAATAATAATAAGAAGAATGTTTTAACTCAGGAAGAGTTGAGAAATCAATACTTTGTGGAATAACCAGGAGATTTTCAATGGCATTGTTAATTTTTTCCATATCCCAACAAACTCAATAAACTTTTAAAGCTATGCAGGTATTCATTCTTTTTTACTAGAATTGTTCTTTTAATCTCAGTTTGCCATTTTTCACCCCTTTTCTATATTATTTTTTATATATTTTAAATGTACCCTCTAGTTCAACCTCTTGTTATATTTTATCTTTTGACATCCACAAAGTGAGTTATTGAGTTCTTTATGAGAGCAGATGCTCAGATTTGAAGCAAAGAGAGGAAAAAACAAAGAGGGAAGTAACAACTTTATGCAGACGTGTAAAGAAGACAAAGGAGAATCCAAAAACAATTCCTCCTCAGTTCTGCCTTTTCCTACATTTAACCTCATGATGAGTGGAGATGAGCTGCAGCAGGTGAAGCAGCACCCGTCAGTCCTGCCCTGCAGCAACAGAGAGAGTCACACACACTCTATGCATCTGCTCTGAGCACAACAGGGAAGCTGGAAGAGTCGATGGAATGATGGAAAGAGCCAAAAACAGGAGAAAGCTCCAAGAAAACCTGAAAAAGAACGGCTCAGATCAGTCAATCGTTTCAGCAACAAGGCAATTCAAAGTGCTTTACATCATAGAAACACAGAAATACAGTCATAGAAATCAGAATATTCATCAACGTTTCATTTCTAATGTTTCAAAAGCAACTCTGAACAGGTGTGTTTTAAGTCTGGATTTAAAGGAACTCTGTGTTTCAGCTGTTTCTCTGTTTTTTTAATTTTATTTTTTACAAATTCTGTCTCTTTTGTGAAGAATGAAGCTGAGCTGTCATTATTACCCATCCCGCTAGTGGCAGACTGTCTTTGGGTTTTTCCTGGACCGCCACCTGATCTAACCCTCCCTTTCCGTCGTGTCCTGTCCTCCCTCTGCAGCTCACCATCCCCCTTTCCCCCAGTAAGCTGACACAGCGCCTTTAAACATTAGCTGCTTTCTTCCTAATAGGATCTGAGGGACTTACATTGTCATCTGATAAAACTAAGGCGCTTGATAGCTGTGCTGCACCCTCTTAACCAATTTGTACTCAATTAGGATAATGGGGAAACAAGCAAAGAGGGACAGCTTTAATATATTAATGTGATAAAATGATTATCAGTTTCTCTTGTCTATGACTTGGGTGCTATTAGAAGCATCTTGCAGGGCTAATTGGAAATATTAGTCATTGATGAAATAAGCTAAAGCATGATAAGAACATTTATTTGATTTGATTGATGATTGGATTATAGTTTTAAAGGTAAGAATGGGAGCTCAAAGTGCCACTCAAATATCACAGAAATTTTTGATTTAAACTGACAGATGGAAAAGAAATATTTTATCAGAACCTCAGGGCCCAAAGTTGGCTTGAAAACTAAAACCAATTGAATGACTGCCTAGGAAATCAAAACTGGTGTTTTATAAAAATGCATTCAAGGCATAATTATCTCATATTTCTAGTGATGAAATTATTAAGAGATTTATTTTATTAAGTTTGTTCTTCCTTCAGAAAAAAACCCATATCAGTAAACAATTATTTAAAAGCTAAATTTAAGCGTTATATTGTCACTAGATGTTGGCAATAAAACCAACATCTAAATTAAGAGACACATTTAGAGACACTCAAATATAGATGACTTTCATTATGATTGCCATATGGTTTTAATGTGTTTGGTTTCGAGTGCCCTGCTGTGCTCGCATCTTGAGGTTCTTTCTTTCTGTTCAAAGGCAAAAGTAACAGGCTTTTCAACTTCTACGTTCTTGGAAAGCAACGCAGACAACCCGGAAAGCGTGGTCAGTGCAAAGCCACTTAACCTGCATCCAGTCTGCTGCAGCAGAGCAAAGGCAGGCCTTTAAGTAGTTGTTAGCTTTTAAATTTCAGCTCAGCTCAGCTGCTTAAACGTGTCACTGACGCTGAGATGTTAATGCATTTCCGACGCAGAATGCAAAAACGCAAAATGCAAAAACAATAACTGCTTCTTGTACTCAACGTGTTTGAAGTATACAAGGAGAATTTCATTCTAATTTTTGGTTTTAGCACAACACAAAAAAAACTAACGAGAAATATTGGACATTTAATTTGTCTTAAATGATGTAAATTTTTATCCTGATCCTTTCACAGTCCAGAAATATGCACAATTAGTTAATTAAAATTAGTTTAATTGGTTGATTAACCTTTGGAGAGTCTACAGATATGCATGCATCCACTGGTGGTCAGCTGTGCAGGGTTACTTCACCAGAATAAGAACAGAATAAGAAAGATGTACATCTACAATTAAAAACAAATAAATAAACCCTGATTGTTGTTATGAAGTTTATGTAAGGAAAAGGGATGCAGTTTGGAAAAAAAAAAATCTTTCTGTGCCATTTTTCCATGTCGGGGTTTTGTTTATGACGTCCAAAGAGCTCCTAAATATATCTACATGTAGGGGGAGTGAGGTCAGAGGAAATCTCCCAGTGAAGTCTTTAGGCTCATTAAGGATGGGCTTGATCTCTGCAACACCTACTGTAGCGGCAGCTTTGGTTCTGCCAGCTGGCAAAGGAGAAACTTACAGGCTGTATAATGAAAGAAGAACAACTACAGTCTGGCTTTTAAACTCTACATGAATGTTTTACGTAATCTCGACAAACAAAAATGATTGAAATATATTCTTCTTGAAGTTTAAGAAGAAGAACATGCAAAAAATATGATGCAAAACATGAATTAAGCACACAGCTTATTGCTAGCATGTAATTTCAGAAGCTGTGACAAGTCAAGTAAAGATACAGAATAATAACTTTCTGCACAACATTCATTTTGAGGTTAAAAATGAAGACACCCCTAACACGAAACAGTCTGAGATTGGGTCTGTTTCCCCCTAACATTATTGAGAATAAAGGGATTATAAAAATAAAAAAAACACTCCCCCCCCCCCCAAAAAAAAACGCCGAACACAAGCCATTATCTTCCGAACAATGGAGTTTTTGAAAGAAAGTTTTGTTGAGGCTTCATTAGCAATGGCCTCCCTCTGAGGGCTGAAAGCAGGACACATTTGGAGCAATTACTTGACCAGAAAACAACTGTCAGTCATTCTTAAAGGGGAAGGATTCCAATTAATAAACCTCTTAAAGCCTCTGGTTTTACTACCATTCCCCACCGACAGCTTTTTGGTGTCTCATGCGGTTAAGGAGAGTTTTGTCAGGAGAGAAAGACATTACATGTTGCTGCTGCTGCTGCATGGATCACAAGCATTAGGTCCTTCGTGCAATTGTTTGCAGGGGATTTGAAGGACTTAACTGGGAGTAACAAGTGCATACAGAAGATATTGTTGGTGTACTTATGGCCTACAACATGGGCACTATGTAGGAAGTAAAGTGAAATCTAAAAGGTAAGATTATCTAATGCTTCCTTTAAGTTTTTTGACAACTTCTTCACTTTGTAGATGGTTTGCTTTAACTCTAAAACGATGGAAGTGATTAAAAGAATCATGCTAATTTGTATTATTTGTTGATGAAAACTATTCTTCTGTCACTGATTCAGAAGCATGTGTGGAATAAACTGGAAATTACGCTAAAATATGGACTTTAAATTTAAGAACAATTCAACAGTTTGTTGACAAATCAATATTTTCTGATAGCATTTCTAGCAAGGAATTACAAGTGTTATGACTTGTGAATAAACTGTGACTGTTAAACTTCTTCTAAAAATCTTGTATGTAAATGTTTATCAGAGGCACTGAAAAGAGTCTTTTCCCTTGTGCAGACCAAGATGAAAATTAGTTCTGCTGCTTTCATTGTTGAAGTGATCTTTGGAGCACCTTGCTCTTGGCGTCGTCTGTTTTCCTGCACATGAACTAGAACCAGAGTGTTCAACAACAGCCGGAAGCCGTTTACTGTGTTTAACCGAGAATACTGAGGGAGATCCAAAAGGCTTGGATGCATTTGTCAATGGATACCCTGGGGATAGTGGACGATAGTGGACATGGAATAGTGGACAACTATGACATGGGGAAAGGTGCCGGGTCGAGCGCTGGAGGTCGGGTCCACAGCATCGATGTCATTCTGGGATTCACTAAAGACCAGGAGACTTTGCTCCATTCGGTGGGAGGCGGGGACAGTCCGAAAGAGTCGAGAGCAAACGCACAAGATCCTGAAAAGCAGGTCCAAACACACCCATACGGGCATCTACCAGAACTGGGTGACCGCTCCCAACATGCTGACTACCACGGTGAGTCCGTCCAGCAAGACGCTGCTGCAAAAATGTCTGATCACTTTCCTCTGAAACACAGTAAATACCAACTTTATATCAGAAAAACTGCTAACTCTTCCTACTTCCAAAAGAACTTCTATTCATAATAGTAATTTTTCCTCTTTTTCTGAAAAACATTCAATGCTCTATAACTTATTATATGCTTCATGACTCGATTAAAGATCAGGTTCTCAAAAGTTTTAATCTTTTGTTACCACCACTAAAGAATGTCTTTAATGCATAAAAACTCCATATTAAGAGTCAAAGACTTTTATTTAAACTGCTCCACGCCTCCTGCAGTACTTCGGTCCTCCACTAGAGGGCATAAGACAGAAATAAGACTCGATGTTGAAGAGGAAGAGATCTAAGAAACAGTTTGTCTTTTTCCCATTATATGTTTTCACTTGATAAACATAAATGGGTGTATTGAATAATAGTTATAAATGCTTAAACATGTTTTGGTTTCACTCAGCTTGACATGCAGATCATTGGAAATGTGCAAAATAAATTCGTTTAGATTTTAACAGTTAATTTAGATGTTTTTTTCTTTTTGTATGTATTTATTTATTAAGGTAAACTTTCTATTCTCTTTCCTGAGAAAATCTGTGCTGACACTCCACAGCAACCAGACCCACCAATGTGTTGGGACAGGAGGAATTTAAAATAAATTAAACACATATAAGAAGTCTAAATAGTAATGAAAATATTTATTCTAAGAGCACTGCTTTTATGTTCAGGAGCAGTGCTTATCCATATAAATCAGCAGAACCTTCACTTGAGGGTTACAAAGATCCTAATGTTGTTTTAATTTGTCAGTTTGCCATAATTTAATAAATTGTATCGTTTTACTTAATTAGAATTGTATTGTTTTCGTCAAACCCTTTCTTCATGCAATCTAAGAGGTCGCTTCTGGTCTCTAGGTTTTGGTTTTGTGCTCTGCATTCATATTTTAAACAAAAAAGTTAGTATTTGTCACTCAAAAGGCTTGTTTAATATACAGAAATATGTCCATGAAACTGATTTTGAACATCTGAATCTGTTTAGTTGATTCTGACTGTTCGCCTTGTTGCTTGTGCAGAAATGAACTGAAGACTCCCGCGTTAGATTAGAGGAAGTAGAGGCTTGCAGGTTTGACAGGCAGCATCTGTTACTATGGGATTACTGAATTAAGTGAAAGACTTGATGTCAGCTGGACTCACCAAATACCTCGAGTTCAAAAACGCTTAAAGGTTCTCGTCTGCCGGTATGCTGACTCATCAAAAAAACTTATGCGGCAACCAGGAACAAAATCAAAACTTTATTTTTCAAAGTTTTATAGGTGTAATCGTGTTTATTAATTTGTTAGTTGCCACTACAAATCTACAGGTTTAATTAAAATCCCATTAAACACAAATCAGTTTAATTATTATCAGGCCCAATTTAAATGAATGTTGTTAACTGCAGAAGATTGGAAGCACAGAGTGATGCAAATCCATAGCTTTGACTCTAATTCAATCAAACTCATGTTTGCTTGACAAGTATTAAATAAGTGCAAGCAGATAAATCTAATAATAGGAAGATAATTTTGCATTTGTGGGTAAAAATGAGTAATTTAATCATTTTAAACATTTTACTCAGACAATTAGGACGTGTTATTGTCTCCTATAGGGTCCAACTTAATTTATTTTTAAGTGAATTTTCTACACTGAAAGAATGTCTGCAACTTAGTTGAAAATTAGAGCGAATTATGACTATAAAACCAAATATTTGTGAACTGAGCTACTTCTATGCTGTAAATATGCAATCCTAGCTTGAATTATTGTCTAAAACAAACAGAAATAAAATACGTTTCGCCTGAAATCTTTGCCACACCTCTCATTCATTCAAATATGGGACTCATAAATGTTGAAAGTGGGATGAAAAATGGGCAGATTGGTTATAGACTTTATGAGACATATTGGTCCTACTTGTGATGTACTATTGGTTTTTGTTAACTTTTTCATAGTAAAGCAAATTGGGTCAAGGCCCACATGGTGATCATGGGTTTCAGGAAAATAAAAAATGGATGATTATTAAATCAAATGAGATATAATATGTATTTCTGAAACACTAAATATTAACAATTAAACCCTTTTTCATGTTAGAGTCAGACCTTTTCTCCAACGATAAGTGTGATGAAGAAATAGGCCACCTGCACAAGGAGGTGGACGTTGCTGAAGACTCTCCAGATGGAAGTAAAGAGGAAGAGCACACTAAGAAGAAGCACAGAAGAAATCGTACCACCTTCACTACTTACCAGCTTCATGAGCTGGAGCGAGCCTTCGAAAAGTCCCACTACCCGGACGTCTACAGTCGGGAGGAATTGGCAATGAAGGTCAATCTGCCTGAGGTTCGCGTTCAGGTAAAGACTGAAGTAAATCACCGAATGAATGGTTAGTCAGAGCCTAAATAATGCTTGGAAGCTGAGTAATTCTTTGTACGTTGAAGGATCCTTGAACATGATTGGCATGATGCTCATTTAGTGAGAGTTGATGGTAATATCTCCTGTGACCAAACCACTTTGTTTCCCAGAGGTCTATCAAGAACATTGAATTCAGCTACTAAAGAGCTTGTTTTTGTCCTTTGTTTTGTTTTGTTAAGTTGTGTTCACTAGATCACAATCTATAAAGGTGTTTTCACATCTGATAGTCCGGTTTACTCGGTTTCATTGGGCACCAAAATTAGATTTGTTAAATTTTTAGCTGATGCAGTTCGCTTTCACACGGCACTGAGTCAAAACGAACCAATCTATTGTTGGTTTGTTTAAAAATCCAGTTCAACCAAGAAACACTGAGAAAAACAACACAAACGTCTGAAGAAACTCAGCACGACTTCTATTTTCAAGAAACATAAACAAAAATGGAGTGGTATCAAATTTTATTGACCATAGGATTTCTTTTCTGTCTTTGGTGTAAGACCACAAGCCACTTCTCCCGCTAGACACATGTGTTTGATTTGGTTGTATTTACCCAGAATGCCCTGCGCTTTAGTCCACTTTCCATTTTTGGAGGGATCTCTAGTCCACTTGGCATTCACATTGCATTTGAACCGCATCATAGTTCAGTTCAACCAAAATGAACCCTAGATTTTTAGGCAGACCAGAGTTCGCTTTTTTGTTCTGCATCAAAGTTTGATTGCACGTTCACACCTCCCCAAACAAACACCAGACCTCCCAGACATATAAACTACAGTTCAACTAAAGCAAATTAAGCAGGGTGGTGTGAATACATCCTTATGTCAGCAAGTGCAATAAAAACCTCAGTGTTCAGTCTCTCTGACTCTCTGTCCAGGTGTGGTTCCAGAACCGGAGAGCAAAGTGGAGACGGCAAGAAAAGATGGACACCAGCACCATGAAGCTCCACGACTCTCCAATGTTATCCTTCAATCGGCCCCCCATGCCTCCCAACGTCGGCCCGGTGGCCAACCCGATGCCACTCGACCCCTGGCTGAGCTCGCCTATTTCCAGTGCCACGCCCATGCACACCATCCCAGGGTTCATGGGGTCGCCTCAGGCCCTGCAGCCCACCTACTCCAGCCACAGCTTCCTCAACAGCCCACCTGGCATGGTCCAAGGCATGCAGCCCATGGGCCCACCTCCATATCAGTGTCCACCAAGCTTCAACGATAAGTACCCGATAGAGGACGACAGGAGCTCCAGCATCGCCGCGCTCAGGATGAAGGCGAAAGAGCACATTCAGTCGATGGATAAAACCTGGCAGCACATGTGATTGTGCTGCCTAATGTGAACGGATCTCTCTCTTGTGAATGTTTACAGACTGCTTTTTGATTCATAAACCATTGGCGGTGAAGTGTGGAACCAAAGATATAAAGAACTAACACTTTAAAAATGAACTTCTCAATGTCTTCTTCGAATATGACCAATTCTTAGTAGACTGGTAAAACGTTGGTTTTGCTCATCCCAATGTTTAGGTGTAGAGTCCCAAATTAGATCCTTTTTTTTTTGTCCTGGTGTAAACGTGCATGTCTTTATTTTAGACTGTATTTGCATCCAGATATATGAACAGAAAGGCAGTTTGAAGCCATTTTGTCAGAGGTAGCTAACTTTTTTAATGGATTTTATTGAGAGATCTGAACAAATTTATATATGTTTGATGTCTTCACTAGAGGTGTTCTGATTTTATTTTGGTGTTTGCTCAAAACACATGTTTATAGGTCTTGCTTCAGCTGCCTGTGAAGATTTTGCAAGAGACCCTGAAATGAAAATGTCTTCTTGAGGACTAACGGCCAATAAATTCTGCTTTTAAGGTTTCACACACCTGTAAAGTTCTCACTGTTTTTGAATGAAAATATGTTTTGTTTCTCTAGACTTTACAAAGTTAAAAACCTGTTGTTTTTTTACAAATTATATTGCAAAAAAATGTTTGTAGCTTGCAGATTTCTTTTGTTTTGGCACTTGTTTGCATGTTTCAGATCATCAAACTTATTTTAATATCAAAGACAACCAGAGTAAATACACAATTTGTTTCCAGGTAGCAGTTTTATTTTTAATCTTAAAAAGTATTTCCTTCATGGAGAAATCAATATTTGTGCCACGCTTGTCAGCAAATTGCTAACAAGAACTGGTTTTGGAGGAATTTCTAACTACTCTTCTTTACGAAATTTGTTTCATTGAAGATATATTGAAACATTTTCGAGTACCATGCCACAACATCTCCATTAGATTCAAATGTGGATTTCCTAAATGCCGCTCCAAAACCTCCATTTCGTTCTTTTTGAGGCAACTTGCTTTGGGTCATTATGCTTCATCTTGACAACAATAAAACATGATTCATTTTCTGCTATCATTAGATGGAGTCAGTTTGAGCAGGGAACATGTTGGGGGGGAAATGAGTTTTTGGATTCAGTTCTTGCAGGGATGAGGAGCCAGTAGAGCGAATGAAGGAAGGGTATTATGTTCTCATATATGTTCAGAGGTCTTAATATCTTGCAGTTTTTGGAGATTTCTAGTAGAAATCCAAAAGAGGAATGGCTAGAAAGTTGAGGGATCATAGAGCAACAAGCTGGTCTAGGTCTCCTAGAGCTGCCGCCATGTTTGACTCAGTGTGTGGTATTATCATTCTGTTATGCTTTTAGTTTCATGTCAGGTGTAACCAGATGAAAAAAGTTCCACTGCACAGAACATTTTCCCACATATGTTGGGGATCATCTGGATCACATGGGGCAAACTTGAGGCCCTGGGGCCAAATCTGGCCCGCCGGAGGTTTTTATGAGGCTCTCTAGAATCCAAATTACAATTAAAATTCACACAAAGTCAGCAGATCCCCACATTTTTTTCTAATTGTTTAACTGCAATTCTTTCTCAGAATTGGCCCGAAAACATTTGGTTTAAGTGAGTGCTGCTTCAGGTTTACGTGATATCAATAATCTTATATCAGCGCAAATATTGTAAAACTTCCTTTAAAAATATTTGTAAATTAGCACCACAAAATCTATGATTTTGATTGAAAAAAAAAAAAAACACAAAAACAATCACAAAATCCTGGGTGGGCAGATTATTGTGAAAAGATGTTCAAATAAAATATTATTTAATTTTACAACACTCTAAATGGTGAAACAAAAAGCTATTTATTGATATTTTAACAGTTTAATGGGTTTTATTAATACATTCTGGCACAACCGGCCGTTTAAGAACATTTAGACTTTGATATGGTCCAACATGAAAATGAGTTTGACAGACCTGTTCTAGATGTTTCATGGCTTTTCTTTGGTTGACAGGTGATTTTGCCTTGAAGATATTCATTTATATATATGTGTGTGCGTTTTTTTAAGTCCTGAACTATGACCTTAACTGATGGAAATGAGGCCAGCAGTGCTTTGGATGTTTTCTGGGTTGTTTTGTGACGTATCTGGTTGGTTTTAGTGGGGCATTCATCCCTGTTCTATGTTTATTTCATTTGTGGATAACAAATGTCAGAGTCCCAAAGTCTCACTTTGTAAATGTTTCTAGGCTCATACGTATCACAGCCATTTTTTTTTTAAGTAACTCATTACAAGAGCTTAATGGAAACGACACAATCCGACATAATTTCCTCAACTTTACTTTGGTTTTATGCTCTTTTAAGATGTTTTTAAAAAAGAATAAATTTTAAACATACGGCTCTGCTGGTAGTTTTGGACAGTTTTTCCCTTAATAAATGACTCATTATGGTCGTCTTTGTCCAATGTTAATGTTCGCTTGATGATCTGAAACAAAAACTTAAGACATCAGTGAGGGAGCAAATACTTTTTCACAGAGTTGTACAAACGTTTGCTCAATTTTCACTTAGGAATGGGTTTAAAGGGAATCCTGGCATTTATATCTAAATAATTAAAACGGCCTGTGAAGAGCATTGAGTTCTGATGAGCGAGGTTAACGGAAGTCACAGAGCGTAATCTGATTTGGAGGCTAATTTAAACAGACAAGCATACCTCTTAACACCTAATTACTGCTTTTAAAGCGATTAACCCTGGATTCTCAGCCACAGACAGAATGGCATAAGTTACCCTTGAAAAACCTTGTTTAAAACCAGATTAAATTGTCCTTTTCAAGCAAACTTGACAATTTGTTTTATTGTTATGATGATTATGGTTATTGGTGGTAAAATATGATACTCAAATTGGTAATAAATCCTTCCTGGAGGTACTGCTAAGTTTACAGTCAGGTTGACATTGTAAGGATATAGTGCAGTGTATAATTAAAGGTGCAGCCCACACGTTAAAGCATGAAGCTGAATTTTTAAGAAGTTGGAGCCAACTTTCTTATAAATGAAAGTAAATCAGATGATGACAGAAACTCCTTTGCTTGCTTTCCTGGATATCTTTAGGAATCGAATGTTTCAGATCAATCACAAAAAAGTAAGACAAACATTCACACCACTGGTGGATTTATATTTAAAGTAATTCTGCTTCTTTTTACCAGTAGTAGGATTAATATTCTCAGACTTAAAACTGACAGGGAATCTGTGGAAAACACTAAAGATTGGCGTCAGCTCATCTGTAAAATCAAAATGTGGAAACAAGCAAAACATTAGATAGCAATTATGATAATTATTGAGAAGCATATGAATAGATTTCAACATGTAAATAAATTTTTTTTTGCCTTTTTATATAAATCTTTTGAGATGTCTGTCATTTCCAAACGTTTCGGTTGAACAAAAATAACTTCAAATTTACATCTATTAGAGGAATGATCAATTTTGTAAATCTGATTAAGTAGATAAAATTTTGCCAACTTAAAATATTTTGATAATCTTTCATGTCGCTGTCATGAGATAGGCTTTATAATAGATTTTAAAAAACAAGAATTTAAACTGGTACTGTAGTAGTTTGTCAATGGGATTTTCACTCACTAAATTCAAGGAGGAGTATAAAAAACTAAAGTGGATTCACTCAAGCTCACCTCTTTAATTTTAGAAATGCTTATTTAAACTTTTAAATAAGCATAGGATTTAAATAAGCAGCCTATGTTGTGATAGTCCCAACTATAAACACTACAGCAACATCAAATATTTTTGTCTGAAAGTATTTTGTCTTCTATCTAATGCAAATTTCTTAGTACACTTGAAATAAGACAAAACAAACTTACTTTTCAATAAGACACAGGAGCTTTTTTAAGTCAATATTTCCTCAATATTTATAAAAAAATTATGAGTTACAAGTGAAATAATCTGCCAGTACAAGGCATTTTTCCGATATTATAAGTTTTGTTCCACCGGCAGATTATTAAACCTAAATCTAGAACTTTTTTGTTTAAATATAATTATTGCTGAAAAGTTACTTGTAAAGTAGTTTGACTTATTTAAAGTGCAATAAGATATTTTCAGTAGAAACTAGGCTAAAAAAAAAAAAATACTTGGTAAGATTTTGTTTAATTATAAGTTTAAGTAAAAATGTGGAATCAACACAACTAATCCTGAATATAGATGAATTAAATGACATAAAAAATATCAACACATATTATCAATAGTACAATTCTGCACAATTGCTCAGTATCTTCCTGGGTTTAGAGCGGCTTTCACTTTCTTCTTGCACAACGATTAATCTATTTCGAGGCTGCATGTTGTCTTCACTTTGTCTTCTCTCCACAAATCCATTAGCGAGGCTCTAAAATGACTTGAAGCACGGGTTGACAATAGGCCAACGTAAGCTATGACAGGGAGAGCCGGCCTGATGGGGGCCTGTTGTGTCCGTTCAAACCTGTGGAGCCTTGCCAGCCCGTTAGGCAGATGAAGCTCCACTCCATCAGGCCCAACCGGGGGCGTCGGGGGGCCCAGTCAGCCGGGCTGCAGAGGCCACAAGGGCTAAGCCCTAATTGCCCTCCAGTAGCCTGTGTGGCTCGAATGTCCCTCTTTATGTCAGGAGGGAGGAAAGTCTTTAAACTTTGTAGAGATTTGTTCATACTCAGTTCCCTATTCCCACATTTGAACTGTTTAAGATACTCAAATGAATCCATAAGCTTTGCAATATGTTTGGAAACTTGGTGCTTAAATGGGATAGAAAGTAGATAAAGTTATAAATGGGTACTTGGAAAAATTAATTTGACAATATTACCAGATAACATGTGGACTAATTATCATAAAAAACATTTTTATGCTCAAAGAGAAACTGACATTAATTTTAGTACTCATATAAACAGTATAATTCACCTAAATATATAAGTTTTTATCCTTTTCTACTATTAATTGTGTGTTTTTTCTCCTCAGCTTTTGGAACAATTTTCTAAAGTCAGGACGAATTATTCACAAAAATCAAAAGTTTCAACTCTTCTTCCACCTCCTCAGTCCATTTTTATGTAACACAGCAGTGCTAGTAATACTTTATATCAACGAACAGTCATGAAGTCAGCTGAAACTACCAAACCTGAAACTGAAAAAAGAAAAAAACAAAACACTTTTTTATGCCTGAATAAATAAATTTACCCATCTCTGCACTTACAGAGACAGGCAAACTATGTAAAAGTATTTTTTAAACTCTCTGTGCTCAAAGTGTGAGAAATGATTCCTAGAAGATACTAAGAATTTAATTAATTAATTTAACTTTAATAAAGTGAGTAGCATGTTGATGATCAATTTTGTATTTACTTATTTCATTTCCATGTCAGAAGAGTTTTTGTCTCAACTTATCTTAATTTCTGGTTGAATAAAATGAATTTCCATCAGAGTTTTAATTTTTAACATCATGTCTCAATCACAGAATCATTTTTATCATCTTATTCACCCATAAAATTTAGCTTTGAGACCCTTTATAGAATAATTTGAGGTGATAAATCAAAGAATATCATGCAAACTGCACCCAGAATACACTCATGACATACTGCAGCTAGTAATTAATTACATGCATTATGATGTTATCTTGGTTGACCTAGCATGACCTTTGCTGGGCCGAGTCTCTAGTTAACAGGCTGGCGAGCAGGACGTGGTCCATGGTGAAAATAATAAGGGAAAAGAGCGGAATTAATTGGGTTTGATTAAGAACACTTTTCAAAGGGACACTATTTTCCCCTCTTGACATAATTACAGATCACTCTGAGGGAGGGGCGGCGGGGTTGATGGCTGGCGCCAGTTGCTTGTCTTCGCGGCAATGTTCGCCTTTAGAAAATGGACGCACCACTCAAGCAGAACATCCTCTTTTGCTGCCCACTTAGTCACATGGCACCAAACACAGTTGCAAATGTTTTAATCTAGAGTTTGCTACATTTTGTCAAACTTACATGATGATTTTAACAAGCACCATTACAAACAGTGGCATGAAGAGAGTACATAAAACAAAAAAACCTTAATTATTTTGCAAGCATGAATTTACTGAGGGTGTTTTCTAATCCAAACAGTGTAAAAATTATACTGGCTCAAATAAATACACACAACTTCTAATAATTGGCTGAACATCCCTTAACAAATTGCAAATTAGCCATGTGGTTTTTATTCAAATCAACAAGGTTCTGGCATAATTCTGAATCAATATTTGTTTTTGTTTTTTTAACAATTGGACCCTGATTTAAAAGTTGATCTATTAAACTTCGAGAATCCTCAGATCATCTTTTCTGTTAGGATAGGTCTATGGGCTGTACAAAACACGTTCATTACATAGTCTGATCAGTTCTGCCTATTTTACGCTCCTTTTGGAATAAAATGTTAGCTTTGTTAGCTTCTAACTTTAAATCCAAACAGGCTGCTTATGGCCACGCCCCCCAACTCATCGTGTGCATCTTTGAAACGCAGAAGCATCAAATGGTTTCTGGATGGTACATCAACTGTAAAACTGTTGGGTTTTGTTTTCCAGCAGTTGTGTCCGGGTTTAATACTAGATTTAGGTTTATAATTTCTCTAAAATATTTCCTGCCAAGAGCATCACTGTCTAGAATAACTCTGTGAAGACTTTGGACAGTTACAACATTCAATTTCCCTTTGGGATCAATGAAGTATTTTTGAATTGAATTTGAATTAAAATCGTCGTTATTTAATTCTGTTCACCTTGTCCTGAAGAAGAATCAACAACATAAAAATACTATTAGTAGCAGCTTGTCTCATTTATTTTTATGTATGCCGTTTTACCTCAGCAGCTTAAATTCCTGAAAAGTATACACTCACTGAAACATTTACTTCCTCAGTTGTATTGGTTTAAAGCTTCCTAAGCTGTAGCTAAAATTTAACCTGAGGTTACTTGATTTTAATAATGAAAACACCAAAACAAAATCAGAAAAGTGTAGCTCTGTCCCTCTACAAGCTAAAGAAAGAGAGGAAAACTGAAGTTTCCTTTGCAGCTCTCTCTCGCCACCTGCTGGCTGACCTATTTCAACAAAACACTGTATATGTAATGACAAAACATTGAGTGTGAACACCAAAACCATGGGTTATGCCATATATGTTGGTGAAAGAACAGATTGTTTTAGCTTGCAGTGTTTGTGGTGTAGTGCAGGACAGTAAAACAACCAGAAATCCATATTTTTCCACAGTAGACGGTGGAAAGAGGAGCTGGAACTGTGGCTGCGTTTGCTGAGGAACACGGTCAATAAGAGCGAAACGTTTCTGTGTGTTCACTGTCATCGCACTCAGAGCAGCTGTGAGGAAAGCAGGGCAGAAAGAGAGGAAGGGGAGGTGGCGACGGCATCACGGGCAACGAGCAAGAGGAGAGGAGGTGAGTTCATGTGGAGGAGGAGTTTCACAGAGCGTGAGAGAGGCTATTAGAGATGGTGAGAAAAATCAGGAGAGAGATAGAGGTTATGTGAGGGAGGAAGATGCTGTTGCCAGGGAACGAGACTGAGAGAGAAGGAACCGTCTTTTGCAGTTTGGGAGAGGATGAAAAGTCAGTTCAAGATGGATCCAAAATGGACTAAACTGGAGGAAAACAGGTGATCCTGCCAACGACCAGCCTGACACAATCAAAGGAAAAAGGTAGGCAGCTGGGATTGCGTAACCATCAGAACGTTGCTCCCAAACGGCTGACATCATCCGAACGGATTAGAGCCCGGGGGTTTTAGTGTTTGCTGGTGGAGGATGATGATGATGAGGGGGGAAAGAGCAGATGCAAATTGGAGAAAAAGAAGAGAATACTGCAAAGAGTTAGAACAATTTGTTTTGCCCAAAAGTCAGGCTGGGATCCGTCTGGATGACAGATGAGAGGACAGTGATGTCACCTCCAGACTCCCTTCATCGATCTTCTCTCCACAGGAAGACACGACTTCCCTCCATCAGCAACATCAGTACGCAACAGGAACTACGGCGTCAATAAAGACAGGAGCGCACCACCTGGAGAGGTAAACAGTGATGACCCTCCGTCTGCTGATTTAAGGAAAAGCAGAACTACATCGTTATATAACGTAAGTGCTCTGCAAGGTTTTTGTTCCTGGACTGGGTTTAGGTAAAACAATCTCTGGATGGACTTTCAGGTCTGCAGATATAAATCTACATCATGAAGATGCAGATTATTTCATTCAGCTACATGAAATAATCTGTCGCAATTCAGATTGGAGGAATTTCTCTTCAGAAATGTTGGTTTTTTTAAACACTGGAAGAAGGATCTGGTTTATTTTGAATCATCACAAAGAGCAACAATTTTTGGTTTCAACCATGAGTTATTAATCAGTGCAATCAAGAGTTTAGCGTGTTATTGATCTCCACTGAAAAACAGAAACCTTTACCAAGTCTTTTTCATCTGGTTAGAGCATGTGAAATAAGACGAAGCTAACATGCAAGTAGCTTTTCAGCAAGACAGAGCAGCTTGTTTTATAGCTTCAATATTCTTAATATGAATTTAAAAAGAACTCATTGTTCCCCCGACAGATTATTTCACAGTTAAAACTGTAAAAATGAGCAGGAGTATTCACTAATGTCTAGGCAACAGAAAAACATATGAAAACACAAAGGCGAAGTTGTACAACTGAAATAAAATCTAGGAATTACCGTTTTTAAATAACATTTTCCTCACTTCAAAATAAGAGAGAAGGGAAAAAGAAAGATTCAGAACCAGTCTTGACGAGCCCACTTTCAGCATCAACCACCTTAAGAGAGACGAAAAGGAGTTACTGGGTCGGACGTCGGCTCTGAAACTCTCATGGAAATCCAACTCGCATGTCTGTTCATGTGGTTCTCGCCTTCGTCTCTCTAAGCTGCAGGGAAAGTCGAGTTTTTTTTTCCAACTGATTCTGTTTGCTAAAAGTCACTCTTAGATTCTTGTCTCTTAGATTCTGACTTAAGCTTGAATGACTTAAGCTTTTCTAAATCACACGTGTCAAACTCAGGGCCCGAGGGCCAAATCTGGCCCACCGTAGGTTTTTATGTGGCCTTCTCGACTCAAAATTACAACAGCTTTTTGTTGAAAACCCCCCAGTTTTTCAACAAATCTGTAAAATTCACACAAAGTCAACAGATCCTCACATTTTTTTCAGATTTTTTAGCTGCAATTTTTTTCTCAAAATTGGCCAAAAACATTCGGTTGAATTGGCTGCTGTCTAGTTGTACTCCGTGATCAATACGGCGATTAATAAAAACTCGTATTTAACATGTTATATTAGCGCAAATAAAACTTCCTTAAAAATATTATTATTTTGATTGCAATAAAAACACTCATGAAATCCTGGCTGGACTGATCAGTGTGAAAATAAAATATTATTCAATTAAAATAAAAATTAAATAACAATTTCATGGGTTTTATCAATATATTCTGGCACAACTGGCCCTTTAAGGACATACAAATTTAGATATGACCATCATGAAACTGAGTTCAACACCCCTGATCTAAATGGAGAAAATAACGTTATTCCTAAAGATGGACAAACATTCTCCAAAATCTTTTTGAACTTAACAACCAATGACCTTAAATCAGCTCTAGTAAGTAAAAGGCCAACTTCCAGTTTTAAAGTGAAAACTGCATCTTTAGAAATTCAAAGATCAGTAGCTTTTATTGTAGTTTATTGAAAATGTTTTCAGGTTTTAGCTAGCAGATTGCAGCAGAAAAGCAGCTAGCTTCAGGACTGAATAGGTTATTCTAAAGAAACTAAGTGATTTTCTCACAAATTATTTTAGATCATAGCATTAAAATAGAGCATTACCAAACTAAATCTTATATACTGTTTATTTTGTGAGGGACATTAAATGCTGCAGAGGATTTCTAATGTGTTCAGGCCTTATCATCCCTTCCTTTTGCCTTTGGATAAAGACAAACAAGTTAAAGAAACTGAGCTTGTAATAAATCATTTCTTCTGAGTTATCTTTAATCCTCAATAACGCCTTTCAAGCTGCAAGCCAACACAAATATCGCTCTGTCACGGTGAAACTCCTCTACTGAATTTCAAAGGGACCAAACCTGTCAGGAAAAAAACCTGTAATCGCCGTCTTGTGCAACAGTTTACGTTTCTTCTCTTTTATATTCTGGTTGGCACAAAGGCACAGGCAGTCCTGCAGCCATCGGGACACAAATCCTCACCAGACACGTGCGTCTGCGTCTCAGATGTTCACTCAATGGACAAGCAAGGCTGTGACATTTGTGACTACAATCCTCGTTGCTCATTGAGATATGACTGATGTCTGTGAGAGGAGGTTCAGCCTTAATAGGCAAACACCATTTTGTTTTAGGACTGCAAAAAAAATCGTTGCAACTTACGGGTTTAAACAGTCAACCTCGATTCCCCAGTCCCAGCACAGCAGCATCAGGAGCCTGTAGGCACAGAGCATGTGTCTTTTACCCCACAACTGCAGTTTTAGATCCAAAAATAGATTGTATCAAATCAGTTCCATCCCACCGGACTAATGGGCCAGGGTGACGTCTGTTAAATAAACTCAGGTTGGGACAGAGATTTATTTGTGAGGGAAAATCCCTTTGATGGGTTTGCTCTACTTAGCTTGACTGATATTTGTATAAATGATTCAAACACAGCAAACTCTGCAGATGCACATCGAAAAACCAGAAATGGAAGTTAATAGACGAAGACCTGTGCTTTGGTTACGTACATGCACATAGGAGATGAGTGTGCTGCCTTCAGGGAACGGCTGCTGTATGAGCAAATCAGTGTTTTATTTTAGTCTCCATCCCTGGAGCAGCTGGGGTCAAAAATCCACTTTCACATGATGTCACGCTTTCATTTGACGACCATTTTCCTATAAATAGTCAAAACTGTGAGTTAGAAATTGAACATACTACAAATATACTGCCTTAATGACAATTCGTATGCTTTTTATGTACTTTATGCTTCTGTGTGAAGGGCTTTTTGTAGATGAGATCAATATAATGTTCCATGTAGCACCGAAAGTCAGAATTATTGGTGTAAAGTCAAGTGTTTATTATTCAATTTACAAAAATCCAAGTTTGCAACATTTAACTAATACACTGTTAGAAAACCATTTTTTTTCTCCTAAAACCTTTTTTGGATGGGAAATATTAACGGAAATGAACTAATGTCACAAAAATATAATCTCATTTGATTTCTCTGACTCAAATTAGAATAAAAATCTGACCATTCAACTGTGCAAAATAATCCTAATTCAGTTAAAAAAAACATTTTTGTAACCCAATGTTTTCATAGCAACCTTCTTTTTAAATTCATTTTGAGCATTTGTTTAAAGGTCTGAATGTTGGATTGAACTTTATTATTCCTGTTTTATTTATTAGTCGTGGCAAAACTTGTTCAGGCTACATTTGAGCATTTTATGTTAAAATATATTAGCATAAGCTGTATGTACTACTGCGGTTTACTTTGCTCCCTTGTTCTGCACCTCAGCTTAAAGCTGTTTCAAATATTTTGTCTTATGACACCTTGTCTCTCACCCTTCACTACCTATTCCCTCTTTCTGTTGCCCAAAGCGAGCAGCTGTGCCCGACCTCCCTGCAGAGGATGGGTACAGCAGAAGCCACTTTACGCATGGACAGCATGGAGGTCAAGGACGAGTGGCAGGACGAGGACTTCCCCAGGTATTTGTCTACGGCTGGGTCTGTGTGCAGTTTGAGACAAACGGGTTGGGATGGATGGAAAATGAGTCACGTGGAAACAGGTCTTTCTGCTGTGAGTACATGGAGAAACTGCAGCATGTCGGACCAAAATAGCAGCTGGCAAAGCATAAAAGACGTCAGTGGAAAATGTGTGTGTCGTGCTGTTATATTGTGTATTAAAAGTCTTTATCTCCTGCCTCCTCATATAAGTCTTTATTGCACCTAATATTGGTATAATCAGAGTTATTATGAGAAAATATATAATGCGCAATGAAAATAAGGTAACACTGGTTACTGTTTTGCTTTTATTTTTCTGAACAATAACCATTTTAGTGTGAATTCCACAAATTGCTGACCCGAGGAATGCTTTTCAAATTTCATGTGTAATCAAAGATTCACCATGAAATCCCCAAATTACTTTGTGTGCAGGCAGTTGCCTCCATAAGTCCCATAATTAGCAGGAATAGCTTGCAAACGACTGTTTGCTGCAGTCACAGCTTTGGTGTTTTGTGATATGTCTTTACTTGTTTTGCACATCTAAAGACGGAACATTTTCTATATTTTTCTTTCAAAACAGTTCTGTAAACATTAATTTACGATGGCTTTGAATCGGCATCTTTGGACATGGGAATGCTTTGATATAAACCATTCTTTTGTAAGCCTCTAGTGAAAATTTAAACTTCGCACCAGTTTCTCTGCAGAGGAAAAACATCCCTGCAGCAAGATGCTGCCATCACTTTTTTTCACAATCCAAACTGTGCTTCTCGGTTGATCTGCAGTGTTTATTTTCCTTCACAAACCGAAACGAGCAATTACATTTTGGGCTCATCTAGACACAGTAACTCTTTGCTGTCATTCTATTCAACTATTCCAGAAACTGGATTTCTTTTTGCTCACATCATTTAAAAAAAAAACAAACAAACCCTGGTCTCTCAAAATAAAATAAATTAATGTTTGTGCTTGTAATGAGACAAAAAGTGAAAAAGTTAAAGGTGTATGAATAGATTTGCGAGGTGCTGAAACACCTCAAACAGCCGACTCCGTCAACACATCAGCTTGCCCATGCTTGCAATGTTTAGGGTGTGTTTGGATAAATCCCTATCTTTCTCTCAGTCTGCATGTTGGTACAGAAAACTGTAATCCATCCCTTATTTCTCCCACACATTGAGCTTAAAGGTGTCTACAGAATAAATCCTTGAGGGGAGTTGGTAATTATAATGGTGTTGCTTTCTCAAACAAAAGACGATTACACCGAATGAGGATATAAAAACTGGCTAAAGAGTGAACAATGAGAGTATTTCTACTTCCTGCAGAATTGCTGTTAAATTGTTTTAATGTATGATCTTATTTGTGCCGTCTGTGCAGGCCGCTGCCAGAGGACGGAGTTGGTCTCACTGACAACAGAAGCAGTAGGTGGAATAAACATCCAGCTTTCGATCGCCGAGCATAAACTGTAAACTTACACCTGCTTGTTGCTGCAGATCCTCCCACCAGCCTGAATGTCGGGGAGTCCATGAACCAGAGGAAGCGCCGCACGCTGGTCGCCCCCGACATGAACCTGTCCCTGGATCAGAGCGAGGGCTCCGTTCTCTCGGACGACTTCCTGGAAACGCCCGACGACCTTGACATCAACGTCGACGACATTGAGACTCCAGATGAGACCGACTCGCTGGAGTTCCTGAACAACGGCAACGAGCTGGAGTGGGAAGGTCAGACAAAAGGAGGATTCAGACCCCAAAATGAGGAGTGGATTCTTCTTCATCATGAATTATGATGGTGAAAACAAAGGGAGAAAAATGAAGATGTTTATTGTTACTAAACTGTAACAATAAACATTAATTGCAACTAAAAGTAATGAACCCAATGAGAAAAATATCTACTTATTTATTCACTCAAACTTTTTTTTTTCATATAAAAAAACATTTAAAATCCCATAAAACTGATTAAATACAAATAAGAGCTGCAATATTGGAATTTTTTCGCTTTATTTTTGTTCATATTGATGCACAGTGAAGTAAATTATTTGGTTAAACTAATTAAAGGATGAAGAAACTAAGATAAAGCTGACTGACCTTGTTTCTTTTGCTTGTTTTTTTTTTTAGATGACACTCCTGTGGCCACAGCCAAACGTCTTCCAGGTGAAGGTGAAGAAGAGAGAGACTCTTCTGGTCGTCTGTGGCGAACGGTGATAATCGGCGATCAGGAGCAGCGAATTGACATGCAGATCATCAGACCTTACCTGCGAGTGGTCACCCATGGAGGTCAGCTAAACTATCTGTTCATTCATTCATTGATGAATGAATGAACCTATCAATGAGCCCACTGACACATCTTTGAATTGATGAAAACTGACACCTGCAAACTGGGAAAACTCCATAAGAACCTCTTTAATGCTGAGTTGTAACTATCACAATTGTGACCTTCTCAAAGTCATTTGTATGATAACTTTAAAGATAAAATGTTCTTTTGGTCCAACAAATGAGGCCAATTTTTCTAATGAGTGAGAATGTTTTCCTGAGATCCAAAGATTGTTCTAAAATGCACACCGTACAGCTGGAGGATCATGGTGAAGATGAAGATTTAATAAACACCAAAAATATCTAGAAAACAAAAAGTCTTGCATAACAGAATGCAGATAAAAGCAACCCTCTTGGTTTCATGAAACAAGGATCTTGGTGAAAAGACAAACAGTATTTATTTTTAACTGTGAGGTTTCACAATTTTATGCCTGATCAATGAGTATTATTTATAAAAATATCTGACTTCTAGTTAATAATCTGGCAGCAATTAAACAAAAACGTTATAAGTGGCCAGTACCTTGAATGTGTCTTCTTCTTCTCTCTCTCTCAGGTTATTATGGTGAAGGTCTGAACGCCATCATTGTGTTTGCAGCCTGTTACCTCCCCGACAGCAGCTGTGATGATTACACATACATCATGGAGAATCTGTTTTTGTAAGTTCTTCTGACGTCTCCTTGCAGCATACTGCATCAGTCTCACTTTACTGCATGATTCATCAAACGTCACAAACACGCTTTCCTTACTTTAATAATCTTAAAAAAACCTATATAATTATCTTTATGTTTCAATTTTTGTTGTGTTTAGACTTAGTTATATTCATTTATAATTGTAAATTGAAATAGATACATATATATGATGTATGTATAAATACATAATATACAAAAATCAGCTGAGAACATGATCAATAAAGCTCAAGAGTGGTGATATTTATATGAAAGAATTGCAACAAACCGGCACCTTGCAGAGGGGTTTAAAAGCACACTGTCGCCTCAGTGATGAATGATTGTTTGTGAAGAAAGCTATAACTAAAAATCTGAGACTCTGGAAGCATTTTTGCGATTTCTGCTCCACTTCTGACCAGCATTGTCACTCTGAGGCACCAGGGTGATAGAAGTGATAAAGTGTCAAGTGCTCTTTCCTTCATTTGGCTCAGACACAGAGAAAAAACAACAAACTTGCTTTAAACTATGTCTCTTTGTTCTCAGGTACGTTGTGAGCAGCCTGGAGCTGCTGGTGGCTGAAGATTATATGATTGTTTACATGAACGGTGCAACTCCTCGCAGGAAGATGCCTGGAATCAGCTGGCTGAAGAGATGCTACCAGATGATTGACAGAAAGTAAGAAAAATGACATCAATAGCAAAAACAGACTTAGATATCGGAGCTGAAATCTTTTCGTTTGTGTTTGCAGACTGAGAAAAAACCTGAAGTGTCTGATCATTGCACATCCAACATGGTTTATCAGAACCGTCCTGGCCATCTCAAGACCATTCATCAGGTCATAAACATTTACTCTCATTCTGCTTATTGGTTGTGATTATTCCTCTAAATTTAAAGAGAATATTGAACATTATTCATAATAATAAAAGCTGTCCAGGCTGTGCATTGAAATATAAACCTACAATTAAATTTATTATATAAACCTACAATTAAATGTATTATATGACTGTTGGTGTTTTTGCTTGACTCCACATTAGTCACCTTACATACTAATGGTAAAAAACCTGTAAAGACAATATTATTTCCCCTTCATTTGGTCTGAAATCTTTTAAATCTTTGTCTGGTGTAAACTCTGTATAATTTTTATTAGAATGGGAAGACTTGGAGTCAAGCTGAATAGGTTTTTCTAATATGAAATCAAGAAATATTTTAATTTATTTGAGATGTATTTATCATTCCAATGTGTAAACAAAGTGACTCCATCATAAGCACAAACAGAAAACTAATTTGCCTCATTAATCGTCAGATTATAAAGATTTTCCTTGGCATGTTTACAACTTGTACATTTGTGGGTTTCATTACTCCTAAATAAGGCGACAGTTCAAATTTAATAGGATTTTGATGTGCAGTTTATCTAACAAACAGAAGCTGTTTTGATGGAGATAAATTTCACCTCTAATTTGACGCGTTCATGATCTCCACAGTGTGAAGTTCCTGGATAAGATTCGATACGTTCACTCCCTGGAAGAGCTCAGTCACATCATCCCCATGGAGCATGTGCAGATTCCCGACTGCGTGCTGCAGTAAGTCCTCTCTACCACCGGGCGACGCTGTTGAGATGCCGCACATCTCACAAAATGCAAGCAAACGTTCAACTAAACACTAATTTCAGGAACTTTATCACTAAATAAAAGATATTAGATTGATTAATGACACACAAATTGATGTTTGAAAGCATTTATTTCTGTTAATTATAACGGTTTTCTGCTTACAGTTAATGGAAACATGACATTTAGAATTAAAATATGACATCAGACCAAGAAAATAACAGAAATTTGGGTTCAAAGAAAAATATTTTTAATACTTCCTTGAAAGTTGTTATTGTCATAAGGCACCTTTAATCTGACCAACCAAATATATTGGGACAAATATTCAAATATATTGAATATAACTGTATAGAAAGAAGAACATTAGTGAACAAACAAACAAAGAGACCCTAAAATACACCAAATTATATTACAAAATACACTTCCTTTAATCATTGACAAGAAAAGTTTTGTTTTTTCTATACATTATTTATTGTCTCACAATATCTGCAAAGCAAATTATAATCTTCAGATATTTAAAATGTTAAAAACCTTTCTGGAAAATCTTAAAAATATCAACTATATTTCAAATTGATTCAATAACTTGACTTTCCCATTCTTTTGTGCCTCACAAATTGAAATACAATGTTTTTTTCTTCAATTTAAGAAGAAATATATTTCTTAGTAAAGCAGCTGTAAAAAAAAAAAAATCCAATTTAAAGGAACAGTTACAGCTTCTGCACGTCTCAGGAAACCTGAGAAGTTCAGTGTTTTCCAAACCAGAGCAGCACCAGTATTGGAAACATGGAGCGTTCTGGTTTTTGATGACCTGCTTCATTTTTAATGAGCAACTCAGACATGGATTTTGGCCCAACTTATTGTTTTCCTTTGTATCTATCAAACATGAGGATACCTATGACAGCTCTGTAAAAGTCACTGCAGCCAGCATTCGGTGTAGCCATTATGTGTCTTCTTATAAAGACATGTTTGTAGCATATTGCTGCTACAAGTGGGAATGAAGCAGCATATTACAAACACTATTTCATCTAATTTAGGTATGATGAAGAGAAACTAAAAGCACAAAAGTTGAGGTAAGAAACCCTTTTTCCCTAAAAAAGAAAGAAAGAAATTTCCACCATTATTTTAAGTAACTAAATTGTCTTTTTCCTGCAGACAGGAACAAGAGCAGCAGCAGACCAAGTCAGCTCTTCCTGGAGAAAGGTGACCTCTTTCTGTTTCATGCAGCTACGTTACGCAAGACTCAGAAACATTTTTTTAGCTCTATTTCTGTCACATCAGCCATCAATTATCCTGTTTATTATTTTTGCAAATGTTTGTCAGCTAATCTTTAGCACTAGATGACTGAGAAAATACTTATGTTTCTTTATTGCTTTATTTAAATGTTATTTTCAGGCCAAAGTCGATGCTTGCATCAGTCAACAGTGACATCTGACATTAAGGTAAGAGGTCCCAGTCATTAAACAGTCCGTCTTTAACTCTGCACTCCGGCTTGTAATGTCAGTCCCCTGTAACTTATACCTGATACACATAGGGTCAGTTTGGTTTTCACACAACATTTGGATCTGAGTGCAAAAGAAACAGCAAATTAAATCCTGCAGAAACATTTGTTGGGAATCTTGGCGTCCAAGCGCTAGTCGCCTAATTATTACATCGCCTCGAGTCTTTAACTCTTGAAATAGTTCAAAAATCCTTCGCTAACGGCGCTAATACAAGATGTCCTGCAAAAATATTCAATGCACTTGGACTTTTTTTTTTTTTTACACATTGTCACGTTATAGCACAAGTTATAAATCCATCTGTTCTGTAAAGGCCTCAAAGGTTTGTTGGAGAGCATCAGAGAAAGAGCAGCATCATGTAGATCGAGGAACACCGTCGGGCGTCAGCGATAAAGCTGTTGAGAACTTCAAATCAGGTTTAAATTTAAAAAAATAACATGTATTTGCTACGACACTAGTTGTAGCAATGGGTTAAACATCTAATGAGCAGAAAATGGACAGAGAACATGACTACAAACTCACCGAGATGAGGCTGATCAGACTAACTAAAGACAACATTATTTAAAGAACGAGCCAAGAGGTTCAAAGTAGCTCTGGAATCTGTTTACAGTTCAGATTTCACTCCTAATTCATAACTTCTGGCCTTTTTAGAAGAGTTGTATAAAAGCCAAGAGACTTTTTCCGCATTTACGTTTTCCTGATGCTTTTCTCGAGATCATAAGATGATCGGTGTTAAACCTGATTCTACCTTTCAAATGCAAGGCACTGCATGCAGTTGTGCATACATTTGAAAGATGGAATCAAGTTAACACCAATCGTCTCATAATTTTGGTACAAAATAGAGTTTGGTTGCTCAAGATTCACTCGTTATCTCAGCAAACTTTAGTAAAAGTATATCCAGAAAACGTCCGCTCTCAACCAGATGTTGCCACTGGCTCAAACCACAAAGAAGAAGGTGACAGGAAGGAGTTGGAGGATCCTGGCACTGCATGTTTTTAATGAATTATCGTGTGGACAAACTTATTCCTGTGTGATTTCAGTTGTGTTTTTTATTCAATGGAAACATTGCAGTTGCAAAATTGTGTTTTCTAGACATTAGTGGAATGTCAACAAAGTTTTGTGCACTTTTGTAATGGAAACACACCTTGTCCAACCTGGCTGGGATGAGCAGAAGAAGGGTGGCAGGAAATCCACAGCCGGGTTTTTTTTTTACATCATCTCTGGTCAGGCCACCAATTCATTGCCTCTGATCTTCGGGATCCACCAATCACGTACTGGCACCTGCACCCTCAAATGTAAATTTGCACAAAGCATAAATGTAAATTTGCGCAAAACATTTTACAACACCAGCGGTAGCAAATGGGTTAGGATGGCTCAGTCAAAGTAAAGACCAAACTCAAGAAGAGAAAACTGATGTCTTTAGGTGACTGATATTGAGTTACTTTTTATGGCACAATAGGCAGAAAAGTCATTTCTTGATGTACGAAATCAAACTGTGACAGAAAATGGACAAAAATAACTTGCATCTTTATTGCTGGAAAAGGTTCCTCTACAATGTGTTGAATACAAATGCAGGAAAGTCATGAATGATTTTTCTTCCACCTTACAAAACTGCATTGCTCCGTTGATCTGTCACGTTGGGTCTAATGTGACGGAATGATTGGAGTTCGTGGACAAAATGTTGATACTTTAGCAAGGCAAAGTAGATGAGTCTGGTTACGATGAAGTATGTTTTGACATGAAAATGTCAGCCATTCCATCCAATTAAAGAGCGATTTGAGGAACAACTGTATTTGTGAATATGAACCCACTGAATGCTGCTTTCTGATTACTGTCAGACATCAAGCCTGGCTCCTTTTCTGCCAAGTCATGTTTCAGGTCTTGCAATTCAGCCCTCGTGTGAATCCAAATCCAAATGTTAGCTAATCCTCAGACCGGCTCCCCGATGTTACATAAAACACAGCTGCTCCCCTCGTCTATGCAGAACCATCCAGGTCTATTTTTACTGGGCTTCACAGACGAGTCATGAGCTGCAGTACCGGTCATGAAATCAGGAGAAATACCTGCCTGGGCCAGTCAGAGTGGGTTGGAGTGGGTAAAGTACATGGGGTTATTTCAGAAATCCAACCCCATGAGCATCAGTGCGCTCCTCTCTGCCCTCGTATATCAAAAGATCCTGCGGCCGGTGGACTGGCTGACATCCCAAGAATGGAAACAGGCTCTGTCTCCCAACCGGTGTGATATGTGTCAGTTTGGATTTAGTTTAGATTTACAGTCTATGATCTCTACATGCTCCCGAGTACTAACAATGTCTATGTGAACAATGTGCCAATTGTTGCATAAAGGTTGCACAAAATACTCAAATTAAACTGTGTTTTTTGCATTGCAGCACAGTGAGTTGAAGATCTGCTGGGGAACGGTCGTTCAGTAAACTCAGCAGCTTCTTGCACAGAACGGACCCGTTAGCTGCAGGACAATCACTCCTCAGTATTTCTCTTGTTTCTACATAAAATAAATTCAGAACCTGTCAACAACAAGATGTTACAGATAAAATTGTTTGCTTTCTGCATGTGAGATTGAGCTGTTCTATGATGCATGGCAACTATTTTAAATTAAAACCGTACAGACTCCTAAAACCGATTCGTCTTGCAGATACTGTAGAATCAAACTGAAATATTTTGGCATGGGTTTTTCTTCGGTTTAATACATTTGCTCACTGAATGATGCCCAATGACGTTCTTCTTCTTTAACATGTTCTAGATGTTACTGATGCAAAAGTATTGTACAGTCGTCAGGTTTTCCAGCGTTAAATATGCAGTTGGCATGCTTGTTTGTATCCTTTCCTTCTTCGGTATTTGTATTTGTCTTGTTTTTAAATTATAAAGAAAGGCAGTACTTTTTCAAGACGGAAAGACTGAATTGTTATAGATAAAATAAAATATATTTCGAGAAAGAGAACCTGAAGAATTACTTTAACTGTTATCGATGAAAATGTGCCATTTAATGTTTCTAAAAAATAAAACAAAATTAAAAAATAAGCTGGATTTGTCTATTTTGTCTTTTATTGCCATTTATTCAGCCTTGAACAGCCTCCTTAAGAGATGAAGGAGCTCACAGGACATCTCTCACCTTTACTATGAATATTGCTTTTATGTTCTGAAATTAGTAAACCGGAAAGGCAAAATTACCTAGAATAGGTTATTTTAACCCTGCATGTCTCAGTGATTAAAGAGAAAAGTCTCATATGGTAGAAGTATTTTGCATTTAAATGATGTGAATCCTTTTAATATATTAAGTTAACAAACATCTGTCTTTTAGTCGCACAGTGCCACCATGTATCCCGACAATGAAACATGACACCATGTCAGCTTTTATCTAAAACTCAAAGTTCACCTCCTTCACACCTGTATCTCTCCAAGAGATAAGAACAAATGGTGAAACTGATTTGTAGTATTGGGTAAATACTGTTTGAACACAAAATAAACACGACAGACTCACACCCGGAGGTGTGTAACGACCAGAGCTGATAAGCGGCAGGCGCTAACCTTCAGAGAAAGGTTTTATCGCAGCTTTGGCTGACAGATGCGCCATTTTGCCCACAAGGAGAGCTGCTACGTACTCTGGTTGCATCAGAAATATTCATGATGCAGAAGCCAGGCGCTGCAGACTAATTATAGAGGTCCTGGTTTGCATTCGCCCCGCAGCCGGCTTGGTAGAGTGACGCTTTTACATCTGTCCGGATGTATTGTCCTAAGAATTATGACCTTTCTTGGATTTAAACCGCTTACGTGTCAGAAACTTGAATTCTTGCAGACTCAAACTGTCTCTCTCCCAGTTATCTCCATGTTCTTTTCCAGACGCACCCCCCTTGTGACTTCATTGTGGTTTAATTGTATTTCACAGCTCAGCCACAAGTTAGCGTCTGTACTTTCCCCGAATGTGGTCGGCCTCGCTCCCCTGACCCCTGAGAGCAGGTGCAAATTTTAGGATCAGCTTTCACACTGAAACTTCAGCTGTGCATCCTCTGAAGTTGGTGCTTCCGGCTCTGAGGAGGCAGACTATTGGCCGGTGAAACGCGGCTCCGATTGGTCGAGCGGGCGGTGACACGGCTGCCACATCCTTTATATGCGCCACAAGAAGATAGTCTATCAATGAAGTAGTGAAGGGGGGGGACATCTCTGGCGAAGGAGAAGGAGAGGGAGGTTTTAGCTGAAACCTTTGTGAGAGAGAGAGAGAGAAAGTTTGGTTTGGTGGGGTTCCCTTCTTTGACTTACTGAATTCCTGAGGTGACCAACAACACAGAAGAAGTCAGAAATGAAGTTCATCATCGGCATCGGAGGGTAAGCTTCAGCTAAAATAGATGCCAAGATGCTTCTACAAGAAATTGAGATGTAACTAATTATTGTGTGGCATTAAATTCAGAGTGACCAACGGTGGAAAGACCACTTTGACAAATAGACTACTAAAGACATTACCTAACTGTTGTGTGGTGCATCAGGATGACTTTTTCAAGGTGAGACAAAAAAAGAAGTCTGGTGTTCTTTTTCTACTATGTGTTAAACTATTTTTGTTTGGCAGCTAGAATATTTCTCATAAGTTTCATTTGCGCTTGAAGCCTTTTCTTTTTTTTTTTTTTTTAAATGCTTAAAAATTAAGAAATGGCCAGTCTGACCTGCAGATGTCCTATCATCGAAGCAGCCTTGTAATCATCTGGCTGATTGTCTCCTGGACAGCCAATGAAAGGGCTGAGCGTCCCCACTAAAAGTCAGACTTTAATGTTAAATGACTAAAACGTCTGTACTAATAGCCGAGAGTTTTGGTTTGTCTATCCTTTGTTTTCCTCCCTATTTTGGGAAAACAGCTGAATTAAAAAACAAAAAAAGTACATGTTGTTTTCTCTTAAAAGATTGTTAAAAAAATTGTAAACAAAAATTTTGAAGATTTAAAAAAAGGCATCATCAGCATATACTATGACCATAACGAAAAAATGACTTAAAAAATGAGAAAGTAACAACAAAGGAGATTAAATCCAGCCGAAATATTGTTTAAAAAATCGTTTCCGCGCTTTCACTTTTGGTGGAGACGAGTACCTGGCTTGTCCTGTCCAGGAGGGATCAGCTCCCATTGGTTACTGGGTTGCAGCAATGTTTTGTTGGTGACTGTTATTTCAGAAACCCGATCAAATACAAGTCGGGGAGGACGGCTTTAGACAGTGGGATGGTAAGAGTGGATTTCACGTAGGAAAACCTTTCAGTAATGTACTTTTTCCTTTCCTGCACATTTCTTCAGTGGTAACCAATCAGTCGTAGACTACCACATATAAATATATAATAATAAATAGACTGTGAATGCTACGTCATTCACTGATTGAAATAAATTGGTGTGAAACGTCGGCCCCACACGCGGTGAAGCTTTGTTTTTGTTCTGCTTGTCTCCATCAGTGATCAGCGCTCTGGACATGGAAGCGATGGTGAACACCGTGAAAGGCTGGCAGGAAAACCCCGTCAAGTTTGCGCGTTCGCACGGAGTCAGTCTGTCACCCGAAGCCGAGGAGTCCGACTCGGAGCTGAGAGGGATCCATTTTCTTATAATTGAGGGGTTCCTCGTCTACAACTATAAGTACGTCACCATTTAGCTGACCTCTTGACCTTCAAAGCTTCTCCCTGACCTGAGATCCTGTTTCCCTCCGCAGGCCTCTCATTGATGTCTATGACAAGTGTTTCTACATCTCCATTCCTTACGAGGAATGCAAGCGGAGGAGAAGGTGAGCAGCTGTTGGAGTAATTTTCGGGACGCAGATCAGAGCATGCTGTAACTCTGGACCGATCTGGTCTTTGCAGTACCAGAACATACACAGTCCCAGACCCCCCTGGCCTGTTCGACGGCCATGTCTGGCCCATGTATCTGAAGCACAGGAAGGAGATGGACAACAACTGCAGCAGAATAGGTTTGCAAAAACACAGAATCAGACGTAAAACACTTTCCTGTTGAGAAGTGTTGACGTTAATTTGTGTCTTTGTTGACAGAATACCTTGATGGAACAACAACGAAGGACGATATCTACAATGCAGTTTACGAAAGCGTTCAGAACTCCCTGCAGAAATACTTATAGGTAAATAAGTTGTTTTAATAACACATATTAAAGCCTTGATGATGCATGTGAGTAACTCTGCTTCTCTTCTCTCTCTAGCAGGTTGGGTCGACACCGGGTTGTGTATAGACTTGTAAATATCATTTTGAGTAAATGTGTAACACCAGCTCTGTACTTCTGGCCTGATTTGTAAATAGACACCAGTGTAACTTATTATGACTGAACAGCAGAAAAAGTGTTTTGTATAATCATGTGTAACTTTTTTTTTTCTAAGAGATTAGTCACTTCTGGACTGCCCAGTGTTTAACACCTGTAACTGATGTGAACTTATAAAGCTGTCACCTGAAACAACTCAAAGAAAACTGAATGTTTCCTGTTTCCTTCCTGTTAGATACAATCAAACACCTCCACACACAATCACATAGAGCCCATAAAGCGTCGTAAAATGGCGACTCAGTGCCAAATCCTTTGTGTTTATTGAACATGACTGATAAAATCCAGTAGGTTGTCACAGCTACAGGTTTATCGCTACTTCAAGTAGAAGAAGATGAAAGAAAGCAGGCAACATGAAGAAGTAATAAAGATGGTTAAGATTAACTTTCTGTTGCATCAAAGACAGATTTCCAAATGTGCAGGAATTTTTTCCAACTGAAAAGAGTTAAGTGCACCAGTCATTGACTTCATAAAAGAAATTAGCTTGACAATTCAAGCAATGCTCAGAAATTTTTCTATTTTTTTAAATTCATAAGCAAAAGAATCAGACCATTGAGTTCACAGATCTGACTATTGTAAATTTTTACCAATTATTCATACAAGTTCACTTATATGTACAAATAAAAGAATATTTGTGTCATGATAATTGTATAAATGTAAATGAGCAAGACGTTTGAAGCCGTCTTTTATGATTGTTGCTGACTTTTTGAAACAGAAGTGATTATCAGCAGAAATAGAAAATCTTTACCTGTTGAGTCGTTTCATAAGCAAAATGTTACACTAAATTATTTAAAAATAGTTTTAATGTTTTTATTAGATGATTTTAATTTATCCCAGCCACTTTTTGTATTAAACCAATGATAGCTCAACTGAGCATGATGCTGCCACCACCGTGTTCAGCCGCTGTGGTCTTGTTATGTTTGAAAGCCTCAAACTGACAGGGAAAGTTCAACATGAGAGGAAGATGTACTTTAATGCAGCCATACACTTTACATCAGTTTGTGGAATGATTTTGATTTTAGATGATGAAACTAAGCAAAATAAAAATATTGCACAATTCAATAGAAAAATAAAAGAAGTATATGAATAAAGTGTAAACAAGTGAAAAAGATCAAATGTTATTTTTGATTTATGTGTGAATTTGTATTTATTGCATCTCTAGTTTGATTAAGAACTTATTTTAGTTATGAGTTTATTGTCCCAAATGTAATATTAATTTGGGGCATACCCACAAAAGCAACAGTACAACGCAGCACAAGCATTACATAACAAATAAAACTAAACTAAACTAAACATCTCATATTTGATCGTTCCACAGTAAGGATAAAACTGGCCAGCATCTGAAATAAACCTCAATCTAAACAATATTTAAATTGTCATTAAAATGTTGAGTCTGTTGAAGAAAATCAAACAATTTAACTAAAAACTATCCAACCCTCCAAGAAGAGCGATACATTATCAGCTATGATAACAAAATTTATGTGGTCAAAGATAAACTCAAGGATTGTTAAAGAGGAGAAATCCTTATTCGTTTAACCTTTTATAGATGTAAATAATACACAATAATTTCAACAGTTTGAATAAATCAATAAAAATTCAACCTAATTTTTCATTTACGCCCATCATGACTATAATTTAATTTGTTGTATTTGTTATTTCTTCTCTTTTAATTTGTTACTTTGGCCCACATAGTAAATTGTAAACGATAAATTTGGAAATACCAAATGTGCTTTTGGCTGAATATGCTGCTTTTAGATTTACTTTGTGTTTCTTGAGGTTGTTAAAGGACCTCCAGAGGTAACACATCAACAAACCCATGTGTAAAATATTCTTTCCCTTTCAGCCGGGCAAAGTTGAGTCAGCAGCAGAACAAACTGTGTATGTCTGGCTGAATCCAACGCCCAGAGCACCAGCTGTTGGTTTTAAGGCTTACGCCACATTTTTCTACATCCTGTAACATTAAATGTTGTCCCAATCAGGGCTAAAATGCTTCATAAACTTTATCTTTTTCTGTTTTATGATTCCTGCTTCAACATTTTATCAGAATATGCCAAAAAGTAAAACAAATCAAAACACAAAGCGGTGTAGTTTCACTTTATTTTTGTTTTAAAATGAAAACCAAGTGGGAAATAAAAGGCAAACAAACAAAATAAACAAAAAAAAAGATTAAATATGATTACTATAATCCTTACAATCATCAGGTCTCAAAGACAGACCTCAGTTTGTATATTCAAAGCATTTTCACTACCGAGGGTATGTCGGGGGAAGGTCAGGGTTTCATGATGCGTCTGCGGGGTTCTTCACATGCCAGAAAAGCAGGAGTAAATTTAGGCTTGGGGCCTGAGGCATCAAGGGAATATATGTAACAAATGTACAGCCAATAACTGTTTGCAACACACCCACTCACAGCTCTGAAGCCCTGTGTGGTTTCCCTGCCCGGCCCCCAAACGTAACGTGATCAGTCATCATGGAAACCTCCGGACGGCCAGCCAGGGAGTCCAAAAAAGGACGGAGAGGCAACGACACAGGAGATAAGGAGACATATCACATGCTGTGTGAGGAGGAGTTTATCTTTAAATCAGGTGCAAATGACACAGAAATACCTTCTCTTATGTGAGTAAAAATACTTCTTAGTCCTGCTTTTGTCTTATTCTTACAAACAGTTAATTTAATTACAACTTCATATATTTATTTATTATGATAAATATAATAGATAAATAAAGATAGATAAAGCAGAAATACACAGTAATGAAACAGTGCACTTCATTGCTGACATACAGTTTGGTAGTTTCCAAAAATTGTAAAAGTAGAACAACTTCAACATATTTTTACCCAAATAAAAGTACAAAGTAGCTGTTCAAGTAAGAGTAAAAACAATACGTGGTTTAAAAACTACTGAAGTACTGAGTAACAAGTAAAAACATCTATTTAATGTTTTAATATTTAAAAATAATGTAATCATTGAGAAAAAAAATAGTTATGTCTAAATTCTGGTATTTTACAACCTCAAATTTAATAAAAATAACCAAATATTTAAAAAAAAAACTATGAAACTAATATTTATAGTCAGTAATTCAAATAAAATATATGTTTGAACAGGGTGAGGTACTTCTAGTGCCAAATTGTGCAGAAGGTAGAAAATAACATTTGAAAATAAACCTTGTTCACGAATAATAAGTCTCACTTTAGCCTGAACTGAAGGATAGTAGTATTTTATCCAAAAATATATTACTTAAGTAAAAGTTAAAAGTATAACAGCAGTAAACAGCCGCCATTTTGTACTGCACTGTAAAACATTTGAGCTGCATTCAGCTCTGTGTCTTTGAGTCAAATAAATTTAGCGAGTTTTAGATTTTGGGATGTGTAACTTTGTGAAAGATGAACTTACAACAACAGTAAGTTAATTTTTTAACAAGAGTCAAATAAACCAGAATTTTTAGGTTAGCACTTTAAAAAACTAAAATAAGAAAAAGAGAGGAGTGGGAACTATTTCCCAGAATGCTTAGCGGCATGTTTTTGTATCCTGAGATGAAAGTGTGTCAGATTGATCTGACTCTTGTCTGTCGTTTTAATGCTTGAGGATAATGTCCTGTTTACACTAAATGCTTCTGAGCTGAATTCACTGTGAAGTTTAATAAAATTCATTGGCAGATCATAAAGTTTTTCATGCAATTTAAAATAAGATTGTAAATTATTCTAAAGTCAAATATCAAGTTATTTTAACTTGATATTGATATATATGAATGCTTTTTGACTAGTTTTTTCTTTCATATTGTGAACTAATTATTTGATTTAAATTGCAGCATTAAGTTAAAACTCAATTCAAGATTTATGAATTTAAAAAATATATATTTAGACAACTTGTTTGTTGTTGCTAAATCAACTTCATGCACTTTAATTTCTAAGTTAAAATCAAAACAATTTTCCTGTTGACTGAAATTGCATTTTTAAGGCAGAACAAGGACTTTCATTTTCAACGTAAACCATGTTCAAATGTTTTACAGTGCATTAGAAAAGGATGGAGCGCTGAGGAATAGAAAATAATAATCGTGCCATCATGAAAAAATAAATTGACGACTTCTTGGGACATTAGCTAACTGCTTTCTGCTGGAAAAACATTTTGATAATTGCTTACATTTTAATTGGTTACAGAAAGGGGGGGTAGAACCACGAAGTCAAAAATTATGGAGATGTTTGAACAGAGTTAGAGTATAAAACAATTTCCCAAGAACGTCTCACCGATTTCTCTTAAATCATTTATCAACTGAATAGTGTGGGAAAACTGCAGACCTAAAACAACATGGCCGTCCACTTAAACTGGCTGAGCGAAGAGAGAGTTAATCATAGAAACTGAAGGTGACTCTGGAGGAGCTGCAGAGACACACAGCTCAAGTTTATCAACAAAACTACTACTCTTGTCCTCTGTTCAGATGGGACAGAAATGTATATATTTTGTCCTAATTACAAATCTCATGTATACATTTCTCTAAACACCCCGGTCCTACTGAAACTCGGTGGTGGCAGCATCTTACTGTGGGAAAAGGCATTTTGTTGGCAGGAACAAGCAGAAAAGGAACCAAAATATAAAGCCAGAAACAAAGAACATTAATATGTAAAATAATGGCATCTAAAATATGTCAGGTGAATCGTTTCCCACATTTTGTGGAACGGACCAGTCAAAGTCCAGATCTAAATCTCTCTGAAAATCTAAGGGAAAGACTTGAAATCCCAAGAGGAAAGCTACTGTTGAAAGATAAAAATATGAAGGGAAAGCAAACTTATCAGAGTTGACTAGAAGATTAATGGAGCTAAATATTCTGTTAGAGGACGACAAAAGATGTGAGACTTCAAGCAGGTCAGCGATCCTAAACATGCAGCAAAGGCTGAAATATCGTAATTTAGATCAAACTCTATTATTTACAATCAGTCTGGTCTACAGCTAGATCTGAATATCTCTGGTAAGTGTCAAAAATTACAAACAGTTTCCATCAGATGAGAATGGAAAATGTTTTCAGTCTCAAAGCCAACAGAGACAAACTATGAAATACCTGCAGCTGCAAATGAGGTCAAAGGTAAAAGGTCATTCTGCAAAGACATACCACCAGGGGACTCATTGCATCAACCATGTGTAATTTTTCCTTCCATGGTTGATGAAAGGAAAATATTTACTGAAATATTTACAATTTCAAGGGAAACGACTAAACAGCAAAACAGCTCTGAAAAAAAAAAACATTGAAAACCTGAAAGTTGTTCCACCAAATATTGATTCCTGAACGCTGAACCAAATTATTGCTTGGAAAGTCATAGATATGTTGTTAGGAGTTCATAGAAGAAAAGAACAACAATCATTTTACTCAAACTAAAACCTATAAGACGTAAAATCAGAGAAACTGATCATTTAAAGTGGTCTCTTCATTTTTTAGAAGCAAAGTGAGCTGCATAATTTCACCTGTTTTAGTGGGAGAATTTTGAAAACTACAAATAAATTCATTTTTACCTCCTCTAAATGTGGACATTTTTGCTTTAACAATGCAAGTAGTACTTCAAAGTTTTTGTTGCTTCTCTCTAATAAAAGAAATCAAGATTAATACATGTGATCGACATAAGGTAGAATAAAGGTCAGAGTGTTTTTAATGGATCACATATTGAAGTTGCAACACTAATTTGTCACATGTCGATGAATGAAAAACGTGAAGATGGACAGAGCAGCATGTGGCTCAGGGCTGAAACACGAGGAGAGCTGACCGAGCTGATAAGGTTAGCCAGACATGTCACACCAAACGACGTGTCAAATCATGAGTTACTCTGTAATATTACACTTTAATTAACCATTTTCCTTCAACATACATGTTTTATTTATTGTTTTTGTCTTTGACACACATACATAGCAGCAGAGTTTATTAATTTTCATTTTTTTCAAACAGTTTTCCAGCTTCTCACCTGCTTTGTCTCCCCAAAGATCAGTGGTAAAAACCCTCTGGATTTATCAGAATGGCAGAGTAAGGCCTCACAGAAACACAACTGGTATATTCCATGAACGGGGGGAGTTTCTTCTAGTAAAACCATTTTAAGACCATCATCTTCTTTATTTCTCACAAGAAGCAAAGGTGTGAGCAGCCTTGGTCACCTAGATCAATATATTCAAAGTGTAAAAGCATTAGTCTTTCACTCAGGGAGTAATTTGCTGCTGCTGCTCTTCTACTATCAAAACAACCAGAAACTTTTTTTTGCTTTATTTCCAAACCATTTCTAAATTACAGTAAAAACTATTATTGGTGCAACATTTGTTGTGATTTGTTTACTTTCAGGTCACACATACAATAAAGGCTCAATTCAACGTTAATACTTACTGGCTATATTTTGTGGGTTACATGTTCTTCTCAGGAGGTCTCCTGCCAAACCGCTGCCCAGGCTCGGTGCTTCTTATAAATCCGGGTGGTGGCAGACAGCAGAGCGGGGTGGAGCCGGACCCAGAACGGGGTGGAGCCGGACCCAGAACAGGAGGAAGGTTTCTCTGTCTAAAAATAGAGCAACTTTCCATGACGATGCCCTATTTGGCTGAGGAAAAGTCACTGGGTGTTATTACATCTGACAGAAGATGAATATCTATCTATCTATCTATCTATCTATCTATCTATCTATCTATCTATCTATCTATCTATCTATCTATCTATCTATCTATCTATCTATCTATCTATCTATCTATCTATCTATCTATCTATCTATCTATCTATCTATCTATCTATCTATCTATCTATCTATCTATCTATCTATCTATCTATCTATCTATCTATCTATCTATCTATCTATCTATAGGTAGGAAGAATTTCCAGTAGCAGTCAGTCTTGCAGTGATTCTTAAGAGACCTCTGACTGAAGACTGACTGTGTCATGACATGCTAACAGCTCAATATTGAGCAAACTGTCCTGAATGACACCGTCAGCTGTTAGCAAGCACTGCTAATCCACCTCATTTGCTTTTGCTGCTCCACTTTGAATCTTTGCCGATAGTTAGAGAGACGTTGGAATCAGAGACATAACACTTCCCTTTTATAACAGATGGAAAAGATTTTCTCTTTCTCAAGCTCGCCAAACATGGGGCCTCTTTTTCATCTGCTCTGGGATTTAGGGTCACATAAGGTTTTATTTGAGCTTTTGAGATGCTAACTAACTGCACCTGGTTCTATAAATAAGACCTTGTTGAGACGGTTGTGCATCCAAAAGTAAAAAAAAAATAAAGGCAGAAATTTCTCGAACTGTACAGCATCCAGATGGAATTGTTGTCCAAATCAAAATAGCTGAATAGTTCAGTTTTTCTCACGAAGGCATTTAGTTTGACCATGTGGAAATCTCCAGGTTTAATGTGACCCTGAAGGCTTCGTTTCAGAGTAAGAGCAGCTTTATGTCTTCTGGAATTGCCTCAAATAATATGTCATTATTTCATAGAAATATTCCAAATGAACAAAAATAAACCTGACAATCAAAACAGAAATAAATCAACAATATTGCATTTATCCAGAAGAATGTAAAAACTTTGCCTATCCTTTTGGTGCTCCTCATTATCCACATTTTAAGAAAATTCACAGGCACATTGGTCAACGTTAATGCGACAAAAACATGAATTATAAAGAAATAGAAAGACCTATACTGCCGCCTTCTGGTGAACGTTTAAAACTGCTCCCTACGTATGAACTCCAAACAAACTTTAGGACTCGTTTCAACATTCCAGTTCTTCAAATAATAATAATAATAATAATAATAATAATAATAATAATAATAATAATAATAATAATATAATAATAATAATAATAATAATAATAATAATATAATAATAATAAACATCTGCTGTTTGTTCTATTTGCTGATCTGCAACACTTGAGAAAAAAAAACCCACATATTTAATTATAGATGCGCAGGTAAATGTAAGATATTAAAGATTGGGTAATTTTTCTTTGTGGAAAATAATTAGATTGAATGTTATCGTTGGGATGGCCGGTGTTCACACCTGTGCGTAAAGTTAACCCAGGCGAGGGAAGGGTTAATTCATCGTCATGGGAGTTTGACTTTACAAAAGTAAGTGGACACATTTCAGAGGCCAGGTCCGTCCCTCCTTTCTGTTCAGACTGTTAAGTTATGCTGCTTCCAAGAGTTGGACCCGAGAGCGCATCTTCGCTTTTTATCCTCTTCTTCCAGCTTCTCTGCACCTGATTTCTGATAACATATCATTTAAACTCGTGCATTTCTCTTTATTTTCTCTTGTTTTTGTCATGGCAAAGTGGTTGGTTTTATTATATCTTCCACAAGTCCTTCTGCCTTTAGTTTTTGGACAGCAGCGCCCGGCCGGACCCTGGCGTCACCGCATCCAGTGGGAGAACAACGGGCAGGTTTACAGCTTGATGAGCACCGGATCAGAGTACCAGGCTCCGGCTCGGTCTGGCAGCCAGTCCAGAGTTTATCTGAGCAGGAGGAGGGAGGGCGCTGCCAGCAACGTGCCCGGTGCGCACAGAGGAGCGCAGGTTGCGAGGTCTACTGACGCCCAGCGCTTCAATTTCTCTTCATCCGGGAGTTTAAGAGACTCGTTAAGGAGAAGAGAAGCTCTTGGCGCATCCAGTATCACAGGAGAGCAGCACCGACTCCAACAGTTACGCGCATTGCGGGACGGGATGCTTGTCTCCGGGCAACCCGCGCATCCATCAATTCTGGAAACCGAATCTGACGCTCCCGCCCCGCTCCCCGTGTCAAGAGTTTATCTAACAAACGAGGCAGACGGAGACGGCATGGTCAGCGACGACCCCCGAAATCCGTTCAGAACGCACCGGAACTCTGTTTTTTACAACATGTATCCCGCCAGAGGGAGGCCAGTGGGCCGGACGCGCCACCCGCCCGGGACTGGGTACGGAACCAGGTACTTTCAAAATGGTGAGTCCAAAAGTGCATGTCTCTTTCATTGGGAATAAATCCAGGCATATTAAAAACAAGCCTAATCGGAGTACTAGTTACATTAACCTGAGTAACATTTTGGGGGAAAAAATACTTTAAGGAGTTTTTTAATTACTTGAGTGATTTTAATGTGAAGTATCGCTACTTGAGTAAAAGTATCGATACTTTTACGTGTGACACACGTAAAAGTATCAGTTTGAGTAATTTCCAGTTTGAAGTTACTCATACTGGATACTCTACCCAGTTGGAGTTACTTCAGAAATATATTTTAACCAAAAATTCACCAAACATGAAGACACTCCTGCAGTTTCATAACCTTTATATTTTGATATTGCCAGAAACTGATTTGGAAATGGCCATTTTGCCTCATTTTGTTATTTTGTAATTACGTTATGAATTCTTTTCATTTCGGTTTTTAAATACCAAAATTTCACCATAACTTTATATTTTGATCCGTCTCAATATGTAACTTTTAAACATTAAAACATTAATGTTTTGATCTGTTAATACATATTTTACTCTTACTCGAGTGAGTTTTACTTTCACTGGAGTAAAAATATGTGTTTGTTCGTTCAAAAACTGGAACATTTTCAGGAAGCATCTGATGGAATTTGATATCCAGAAGTTGAAATGTACAAACTGGATTAGATAATCCTTTATTGGTGATTATTCTTAAGATTAGGGGGTTTGTTAAAATGAATGTCAAATTTTATTACCGTAAAAATTATTCATTCATATCTGAAAGAACAGCCAGGATGTCTATCTGTTAGTGTAATTCTCAGAGAGTCATCATTTATTCAGCTGCATCTCAATAAATTTAAATGTAAAAATGTTTTAATTACATTAAATCATTGATTTAATGTAATCAATTCAAAACTATTATAATTGCAACCTAAAATTCTGTTTCTCTAAAGATAATTTTATTATTTTTTTAAAGTAACACAAAACCAACAACTACAGCATGTAAGTCGGACATGTTTTGGTCCAGTTATGGCCTCCACAGTAAGAGGGAATATTGCTTACTTGGCAGTTTACCGGCACACCAACTCATTGCTTAAGAAGTTGGCTGTTCAGTCAATAATGTGTAACCTGGCACATTATTGGAAAATTCAATTTAGCAGTGAGTACATGAGAATGATTGACAGCGCTAAAACCCTCCTCCTGGCTCTGATTGGTTAGTTTTTGTTGGTAGTGGTGCGTTTCTTCAAAAGGCAATAGAAGCTCAGAGAGGGAGGCGACCAATTTCACAAGATGATGACCGTTTTTACAAATGTGTAAAAAAAACAAAAAATTTATTTTAAAAAGTAAGACTTTGTTTTTAATTCCCAACTTGTATAATTTGATGATTATCCTTTGAATCACCTGATTCTGTGAGTATTTCAGTTTAAAGAGCGGTGATGTGAACTGAGAAAACCTTTGAATCAAGCTAATACCAGAAATAATGATCGTGAAGGAATGCAAACATCTTTCAGCCCAGATTTCACCTCCACAAACTGTTTCCAGACTAAATAAGTTGGTTTGTCCTTCTTATTCCCTCTCCAGGACTGCCAGACCTCATTCCAGACCCCTACGCCATCCAAGCAGGGACTTACGTCCAGCGCATGCAGATGTACGCGCTACGCTGTGCTGCAGAGGAAAACTGTCTGTCCAGGTACGTTTCCAAAGGTCATTCAAGTCTGGTACGCGCTCAGCTGCACGTCTGCACAGTAACTTTCCTTTACGTTTCAGCTTTAGGTTGTTTTGGGTTTTTTCTTTTTTGATTTACATGAGTGAAGTTATAAAAGCTGTTTGATCTTCCTATGGAGAAGTGGCTGGCCAGAATAAAGTCTTGCCAAGACATAAATGTTCTGGGTTGATTTTCCCAAAAGCACTGAGCTCACACGAACAAATCATTTGTGCTTCAATACATTTAAGAAAACTACAGCTGGGAGCTCAGCCAGCAGCAGCAGCAGCAGCTCTTTCCAGCTCCTCTTATGCCATTTTTTATTTTTTTAATTTTTATTTTCATCTCCATCCAAGGTCGGCTTATGCGCCCAACGTTCGAGACATCGACTTCAGAGTTCTGCTGCGATTCCCTCAGAAAGTGAAGAACCAGGGAACCGCAGACTTCCTCCCGCTCAAGCCCAGATATCAGTGGGACTGGCACAGCTGTCACCAGTGAGTTTAATGGAGAAAAAGAGGCATTGCATCATTTTGTTCATAGATGGTCGGATTAGCGCTGCTCCGTTCTGATCTGACGAGCCAGGAAAGCATCACCACAGCCCCAAAATATAGTCATAACAATAAAATTGTGTCCCTGAAGGCATTCCCGAAGCCCGCCAGAAGAAATAAAACGTTATTTTCAGTTCAGCTTAATCTGTTTTACATCCTCAGGCATTTCCACAGCATGGACGCCTTCAGTAACTACGACCTGCTGGACATCATGACGGGACGTAAAGTGGCCGAGGGACACAAGGCGAGTTTCTGCCTGGAGGACACAGGCTGCGACCCCGGATTCAGACGACGCTACGCCTGCACGTCTCACACGCAGGTAGAGCTGGAAATGAAGAGAGAGCCAAGACTTTACAGCTGTTATGATTTTCCTTCAAACATACAAGTCCAGGTGGGCCTGTGGGTCACTGTAAACGGACCTCCAGCTGCCGAGGAAGGTCTGCCGCCAAGCGCAGTTTCTGCTCAGCAAGAGAGTATTTGGTAAAACCTGTCAAAAATCTGCCTTTTCCAGAACATATTTCAGTAGGATTTTGTCCTAATTTGATCAGAAAAGAACGATAAAGCCTTCCAAAACTATTCACAATAAGCAATTTAGCAATTAATCACATTAAATTAAAATGAGCTTGATGATTACTATTTTTTGATGGGATATTTTGTTCATAAAGACTTCACAATTTACTTTTGGTTTCAGTTGTGTGTGGTTTTTATTTGTATTTTTTTAACTGTCTTCCAGGTCAATAGTTGTGTTCTTGACAAAAATTTAAGTTAATTGGTCTTTGATAATTATTATTTTATTTGGTAGGGACAATTCACATTAATAGATCTGGCTATTATTATATAGCTATTATTATTATTATATTATTATATATATATTAACGGACCAAAACTAGTCAAATAGCTGATTTTTTATGTTATTCCCGATAAATTTGTCTTGCTAAAAACAATCAGAAGTTATACAAAACAAAGTTAAAAATGACTTAACTTCAAATTTATATCAGTTTATACAATCAATACAAAACTTTAAATAAAGACAGTTATCCTAAAAAGATAAATTAATCTTCCATCAAGAAGAAATAGAAACTTTTTCCAGGTTGTCACAGTTTTAGTGTTTGTGTTTTCAGGGACTGAGTCCAGGCTGCCATGACACTTACGCCGCCAACATCGACTGCCAGTGGATCGACATCACCGACGTGCCTCCAGGAAATTACATCCTGCAGGTTTACGATTTGTTTAGTTCACAGCAGAACTCCCAACATTAAAAAATGTTCCTGCAGAAGTTCTCATCATTTGTTTTGTTTTCTTCAGGTTACAGTGAATCCCAATTTCCACGTCCTGGAATCAGATTTCACCAACAACGTTGTGAGGTGTGACGTCATATACACGGGCGTTTATGTTCAGACACGTGGCTGTCGAATAGCAAGGTACCAACAACGCACTTTAGAAACCTTCTAATAGTTAGCTTGTATGGCAACACACTTTGTTGTTCTGTTACAGATTATGTGGTAAAACTTGATTCATTTGAAATTAATGTGAAAGTTGTGTCCACTTCTCAATCATCTTAACTTGTTCTTTGAAGTATGAGATAAAATTATTTAAAGTTAACCCTTCTTCCTTATTCCATCTACTTTGAGCAGCACAATTGCTGAAAAAAGTCCCACAGCATGACACTGTCAACACCATGCCTTATCATCAAATAGCTCAATATCTTTCTGATATAAGAAGTAATGCTGTTTCTCCATGTGAGCAAAAATTTTAATCAGGAGTTCCTGAGTTTGAAGGAGGTTGTGTCGATGTAAATTATGGAGTTGTTTCAGCAAGTTCAACTTCATGAGCATCAACTTTTCTTTAATTGTCTCTGAATGTTCAAACAAATTCACTTTCATCTGAGCTGCTCAGTTTGTGGTTTCTTATTAAACTAATTAGTCACAGAAATCTTGGACTTCTGTGCCAATGTCTGAATATAGATTTTGGTTTGATCTATTGTTTTGAAATTATTCCAAGTTTTGCAGGTCTCAAGTTTGAACTTTTTCTTTCTCACATTTCTCTGAGTATTTGCTAATCCAATGAATGCAGGCAAATAAATTATTGTTTACTTGTAAATGGGATTAACGTTCTGCAGAAGTAAACAGGTCATGACTTTGTGAAGTAAGATCTTCACCGTTATTTGTGAAACGATTTAGGTGAATTTTTGCATAGATTTTACAGAAATTTCTCTATAAATTGTAGTTTCTGCAAACGATAATATTGTTTTCATGCTAATGGTTGCAGAACAGCAAAAATAAATCATTAAAGACCATCATTCAAAAACACTTTTATCCATAATATGCATATAAACCCCGGTTGGTCATATGCCTTTACATTTATCATGTCTTTCTTTTTTCAGGGCTTAAATATTTCTAAAGTCTTGCATCAAGCTGCTGGATTTCTGCAGCAGAACGTCGCCTCCTGTATTCTAAGAAAAGCAACTGGTGAAGTTTGTATTACAGATTTAAATGGAAAAAGTTGCATTTATTGGTCATTTCTGTAAAATATTGTGAATGAAACTATAGATTTAAAAAGAATTACTTGATTATGCAAAATTAGCAAGTACTGTTGCTTTGAGAAGCATTGCTTGTCGGCTTTAAATCTTTGTTTTGTTGTCTTTTCTCGGCTCTGTTCTTGTTGTGCTCTGCTCTGTCCTGTCTGTGTCCGCAGGGATACTTGTATATTTTAACAATAAAAACTCCTGGAAAGTTTTAAAACCAGCAGCATTTTTGGTCAGGCTCCATCTTCCAGGCTGGACAGCCGTCAAGTGAACGTTGTTTAGTCTGAACCCAACTCTGGGGAAAACAATCTCAGAAACCTCGAAGATTTGTCCCGAGTTATGTAGTTTGGTTTATTTAAAAAGCTGCACGCAGCAGGATACTGAAACAACTGTCAAGTGTTACTTCTGGCAACTGTTGCACAAACATGGCAACCTCATGGTGGATGTGGGCTCGACCAAAAGTAGCTGTGATAATGAAGGAATGTCCGGTTTAAACAGAACAACCAAATATTTTCGGGGCACATCAGATTTGTTCCCCATGACACACGAAACACTGATTATCCTGTGACTTTTTCTTCAACCTCACATCTGATTTGCTGTTTCCAAGCATAGAAATTTACCTACACAAATTAATGTGGGCTTTTAATGATTAATTAGAAATGTACTCTTTCCAGATGTTCTCTCCAACGAAGACACTGGTGTTCCAGTTAGACTAAAACCTCATTGGTTTTGGGTTGTTCCTTAATATTATGACCAGTTTCCTCATAGGAAAAGCTGCGTCTCCATTACAAGTCTTGGTTGCTATTCTGCAGATGCCCAAAAAAAAACACAATTTCACAACTGCGGTGTTGCCATTAAATAAGAAATTAAACTAAAATCATGCAATAAGTCATTGGAAGAGATGTTGCACCATTATCCTCCAACTACATCCTGTTGATCATTTCATCCTAGTGCAAAAACTATCAAATTTTTTATTTTTTTTAAATTGTGTTTCCATTAAGTACATTTATATTTGTACTTTAAATTTGCACAATTTTATAAAAACGGAGTTAGTGATAGTTTGGATCAGATGGCTGATTGAACACAGTTAGAACAAGGCAATGATCCTTGACACATCAAAACTGGCTATGGAGTTAATTTAACAGATTAATTCATTTTAATTTAGGCTAAAATGAATCCCCAACTCAGCTCTACTGAAGATCTAAGAACTGGGTTGAAAAACCAGAATAAAATTAGATAAATACCCACAAAGAACTGCACAAAAACTTGTCAAAGGCTACAAAACATTATTTGTCAGGTTATAGTTTTATGAGGCACAATAATCAACCAAAACATGTGCATCTAAAAACTTGCTTATTAAAAAAAAGAATTAAAGTTTTTGTACATTATTACATCCTGGGGCTCCATAGTGGTGCACTTTATATTGACAATGAATTGATGTTTCTCTCCTAGAAAAAGAAGTGTTTGAATCAATCTTTAAAAGCCTGAAATTAATATAAACTGTCGAGTGAGTGTGAAATTTCTGACCTTACGTACATGTGTTCATGTGGATCTCGACTTTATTTTAATAAAATATTCTTGAGAACTGATTCCAGTTGGATTTAAATCAACGCACTTTGTTGAGTGTTTAAATTTATGAGAGCAACATTTCTAAAGTAAACCTAAATCGCCTCTTCTTTATTTGCAATAAATACTTGTGTTTTAATATGAAAATGAAAATAGTCGTACGTTATTGCAAACGTCTTTTTCCCACTGTCGGGTGAGCGGAGGAGCTCTGGTTTTGATGGATGAGGTTGAGCAGCTTGTGGCCTCAAACACAAACAGAGCTGCAATCAAACACCGATGGCATGTTTGCCGACAGATCTCTGTGAAGGCACAATAACGAGATCTCGTGTTTCTGTGTCACTTTTACTGAAACCACTGCTCATTCCAGGGAGAAACGAACAGTGGCCATTTCTTACTGTCCTCCTTGTTGCATTGTTAAAGAAAAAGCCCATTTTTATTCTAATTCAACACATCGTGCATTCATCGTCACTGGGGACTTTGTAGAAGTTTCAAATTGCAAACATGCATAAATCCTGGAGGACATATATAAAGTATTTCACCAACATGGTGTTTGAGTTCAGTGTTAGCTTTAGAGACCAGGACATTTTATTTGCCAGGCTCCTTCCCTGCCTCGATAGATTGTGTAAGCCACAAAATATGTCTGGAAATCCCCCCTACTCCAATTATCCATCTCCATTCCTGTTTGTCTTGGACTTCTGGAGCTAATATTTACAGACAGGGATCTTTCCAGCAGCTGATTTCAGCTACAAAAGCCTAAAGCTGAGATTGATGTGCTTGACTAAATAAATATCAAAGTTCAGCAATGTGCTAAAAACTCATCAGGGTTGTACTTGAGAAAGAAACTGTTTTCTTTGTTACTAATGTTGGCAGAAAAAACAACATCTTGAGGTTTCTGCAATAAAATGTTCATTAGGAACTATCCAGTCGTTATGGGACTGGCATCCTGCGTGTTTTAGTTTTTATCCCTGGTTCAACACACCTGAATCAAACGATGGTTCATTAGCAGACGACCTTTGACTGAATCAGAGGTTAAAAGCATTCCTGAAAGGAAAATTAAAGATAAAATGGCAGAAACAGTTGGAAGATGATTCAAAAGAGGGATTGTTCTCGAACAATTCAAAGAACCATTTGGATTTTAATGGTTCTCTGAAATGCTAAGCATTTCTTTTAATTAAAATTGCTTGTGTTTCCAGCACAAACAACGGTTTCCTCCAGCAATTTGTGCTGGAAGAAACAATTCAAGAAAGAATAATAACTGTTACTGCCGGGACATTCAGGACTTAATGGAACTTCACATGTATGTGAGTCCTATCAGGAAAATAAAACATGCAATGTTAGGAAATAGGAAGAAAGAAAATAATCAATAAGGAGTCTCGAAATGGAAAGAGAAGTGTATACTTTTATCAATATTCCTGAAAGGTTTCTAGCTCTTAAACCACTATAAATAGTTATTTTGAGACTAATTATGTATATGTACTACAAAGAATATGAACATTTTGAAGTTTCTTTGTCACAAATTTTGGCACTGCTCATGTAACCGAATCCTTTCTTTGTTGTGCTGGTTTTATCGATTGATCAGGCCGTGATACGGTTTGTCTTCAAAAAGGATGATTCCTCGATTTATTCTGATGAGAACAACTAACAGAAAATAAGTTCTGTTAGTTGATTGTAAGTATTTTCATTTCCATCCAGTTTATTTAAATCTATAAATAAACTGGATGTATTTAGATGAAAAATAAACAGCACACACCTCCCCCGCAGGACAACATGACAAAAGGGCGGCGGTGTAACAATTTAAAGGCTATACCACAGAAGAAGAAATAAAAAGGAGGGGCTTCGGATCTTAAAGTAACACGGTTAAAACAATGATTTTTAGAGGTGTTTCAGTCAGGTAAGAAACAATACAAACAACAACAAAAAAACAAACAAAAAGAAATTTTGTGTAATTATAACAAAAGAGAAATACAACCAGGTTGTTTTTTTTTAGAAAATGTCATCATTATCTGGCAGATATTTACCATTTCTTCATAAAAATCTACAATGGCCATAATATACTGTCGTAAGTATTTTCATTTCCTAAACTGCAAATTTTTTTTACAGTATTATAGATGCGCTCAACTAAGAAATCCACAGAAAAATGGACGAATTTCTGGGCTGCAGTCAAATGATGTAGATTCAAGCACATAGCTTGTTGTTAGCATAGCAACAGCATTGTTATCGTAAACTAATTACTCAAAATAGCACAACGCGCTACTCACCTAAACAAGTCGACAGACATCTAATACTTGTCTTGATCATAAATGTTTGACCCAAACAAAATAATTGCATGTTTCCAGGCTATTGAAAGGCTCGTCAGTTAATGTTGATCGCCTCGCCATTGGGTAAATCCTCAAGGTTATATGACAAGTTTCTTTTACCGAGACAATATGGATCATGTCCTAAATATGAATTTTCTGAATTTTGTTGTTGTCATCCGAGTCGCATTTGAAACTCAGAAATCCTCTGTAGCGATGTCTAAATTGAATGTAATGTAACTAGGATTGGTTGAATTGGCTGAAAATGCAGTGAAAATCAGATTTTGTGGCGCATTTTCTTAGCTAAGATTACATTTCAATATAAATTTTCACTCTCCACATTGCTTTTGCCAATATGCATCCAATGACGCATTTAAACCTGAGTGAGAACGGTTTGTTCTTTTTCAGACCAATATGTCATTTCAAACAAGCCATGCTGTGGAGAAGACAATACCTGTTTGTTCAGCTGTGCAGCTTCACGTCAACATCTGGAGATGATCTTTTGGCACTGACAAGCTAAAGGGCTGAAAAAATACTAGCCTGGTATCTTTTATTTGGCTGGAGAACGTATATTCCAGTGTCCAGGGAGGTAAAGAAGGGAGATTGTACCATATGTATTTAACGTACACTGAATGGAAACCAGAAGAGCTTTTGTAGTGTTTGGAGAGGTTACAGAGGGCAGGGTTTGGTATTTGGAGGTCGTCTTTCAACAAAGCCGGGCCGCGTGACAGCGGGCGAGAAAAGGGAAACGTGCTCGGCCTCCAGAGAGCATCGGCAGGTTGGTTTAGGCGCAGAGAGGAGAAATTCCTCAGCAGCTCTGTAATCCTGCTGAGATTATTCAGGACGGCTTGGGGGTCATCCAATGGCCCAGGGGAGTCGGAGAGCAGACACACACTTCCTCACATCGGAGTCCTTACACAACAAGCAGACACACACTTCTTCCAGCGAAGCCAAAGACAAAACAGTTGAGTCATCTTTGAAAGGACTGGTGATGGATTCGGTTTTTCTTTCTCTCAAGGTGGGTGGTATCGTGACTTGGGTGGTATTTGGAGGGATTTCTGCTTCTCTTGACTCAACATGTTCTTCATCTCTTCTAGTGATCGTGGCCACAAGATAAAAGTTGTTTTGATACAACAAATGAAACCTTGCTTGAACACAAAAAACCTTATTTTTGAAATCTGGGTCCTAATATAATAAATGAAAAGAGATGACAGAATAAAGTTTATTAATGTTATTAGTTGTAACAATAAATTTTATTTGAGAAATATTTATTTTAGATGTAAAAACAATACAGTAATAATACTGTAGGCCATTTAGCTTTCATAAATTTGAATATTGTCTCACAAATGTCTCCATGTTGTTCAGGCTGCAATGCATTCTGGGTAAATGATGTCTAATGGTCCAACTGTGGTAGCCCCGACCAGCCAAACAGCGATGCGTAGCATCATGGAACCTTTTTAATTTGAACCAGAGTGTTGAAAACCATGGGAGTGAAGAAATCACAAGAGGTGATGAGGAGGACCAAATGGAGGAAGAGGACAGAGATAGTCACAGGAGCTGGTGTTTGCTGCTGCTGCCTTCAGCTTCGTAAATGAAACAATGAATGACAGTACCTGTGATCAGACTGTGTGATCCAGTCAGTACTTCTACAGCTCTGTGTCTGGTTCGGTGTTCGTCTGGGGAGGCAATAGTGCCGCCGGTTATATTGCTGCAGAGCTCTGTTAGCATTTAAAAGAGTTCCCAGTGCTGTCAGTCTGATCTCCCAGCGTTTTTTGCTCCGGCGGTAGCAGGGTTTAGGCGCATTGTGGACAAAAACTGTCCGCACTGCATTTGTTTTCAACTCGCCAAGGTAATGATCACCTGTTAGAGTATTTGTAAGTTTTGCTCATACAAGTGACTCTAAGTCTTCTGGAAAGAAATGTTGAGGTCACAGATTAGGTCCTTCAGAAGCTGTGTTCGGCTCTGATTCTTCTCGCACTGCGCTCTTTTTGTGTGTGTGTGTTGGAAGCATCCAGATTCACCTCAACTGATTTAATTTTTTAATTGCAGCCAACAGTGACACAGTGTGACATTATCTAAAGTTACACAAGTCAAAGGCAGTATGATAAACTCAGGTAAAGTTAGCCTTCCTGTGTTTACGCTGTACATTCCAGTACAGAATGAACATTATGTATTATGCGTCATCCACTCAATGGGTTTAAAAATGGTGACCTCCATGGGTGAAAAATATAACAAAAAGTATCTATTTTGAAGTAATTTTGAGCTTTGTCGTATCACAACAATTTTTTTAGGTAGCAGGAAAGATACAACATATTTAGGCCAACATGTTCAGCTAATCTTGGATCCCTTTAATGAGAAAACAGCTGATATTGCTGTTAGAAAGGTGAAGATTAAGCTGATGAGCAAGAAGCAGTGAGTCACATATTCTGTGTTGTTCCATGAGTGAATAAGAAGATATGTGTAAGTATCGTCCTTGGTGCCACAAAGAGGTCCTTAAAGGGAAGGGCCATTTTTTTAACGGACTAACTGTGGTTGCACTTTAATGGAGGCGGCGCGCTCCGATAGCAGCAGCAGGTCGAATAAAGAGGGTGGTGAAATTCTCAGACAAGTTTTAAACAAACGGCGAGACCGATGGCGGTTCAGATGTTCTCGGACCACACACCACTGATGAGGAAGAAGCGTTTCAGCGGATTGAGCAAAAGCACTCCTCCTTCAGAGGACAGATTAAGAACTTCTCATACACGGTTGTGATGTAATGCTGGTGTCTTCTGTTTATTTGATTTGCAAACACGAGACATTCAATAATCAATTATGTATTTCTAAATT